ATAATCGAAACTTCACGTGTATTGTATGTCATTTTCATGCATTCTTTTCTATATTTTTCAAAAATGATCAGTTTTAAAAGAATTTCGTCTGATACATTATCAGAGAAAAAGACGCCCTAACTCCTCCTCTTTCGATTGGTGAAAGCTACAGGTCTCTAGCTGTTTGCGTTCTCGAGTTATTCAAAAAACAGTCACACGCACGGACTTTTTGGACGGGCTATACGTAGTAATCTAATATTTTACTCGTTGTTTTCGATGGAAATCAAACTATCGTCAAATCGATAAGAATATCAAAGAATGCATGCGTGCACACAAATATAAGGAAGGTAGATAATTTCTCTACCGACTCTTTTCACGGTTCTCCCTCATTTACTTTCGAGTTGAGTGCACACAACAACGAATTACAACCAACATTATCAATATTTTATTGTATCGAAACAAAACATAAAGCGAAATAGTAAAGACACTTGAAAAACAAATAAAGAAATAAAACATTCGGCATTGACGTTCATTCTCTTTTGTCTCTTGATACACCAGCTTGTCTCATATTTTATATTGTCTACCGGGAGTCAACGTTGCAAAATCTAATTGGTTTTGAAACTGTGTGCGTGTGGCTGGGTAAGTGTGGATTTGGAGTGTGGTGTTATGCATTCGATCTAACAGCTATGCCCACATTCACATCCTCTTTTTGACGTTCATAAATAAACCTAATATAAGATAGAATATTATTTATCAATACAAATAGAGGAAATGGGGAAAACATTAAAAAAAGATAAAAATAAACGTATTGCAACATCGTTTATAGCGTAAACTCAATCACACGAAAATCGATTAATAATCGCGAATGTTTAGTAAATATTGGCAGAGCCGTATCTATTGAGCTCAGTTTGCTTATCAAAACACCATTCCTATAAAAATGAGGAGAATGAACGAGATCAAATTCAAGAAAACTGTAATGAGCTCTAGAATTCTATGAAATTGGCAATTTCCAAATGTCATACCTTTGTTGTTTTTCACTTGTCGTTGATCACGATCACGCGTGACTATTTTGTAACCGACTAGTATAAAAGTATTCATGCAAAATTTCAATGATAGCATTTTGATATGAAAATTTTCTCATAGATAAATCTTCTCTACAGAGATGTGAGTCTCAGTAAACTATCTATAGACTAAATTTCAGATCGAAGTACCATCGTTTGAGCTTTTCATGAACATCTTCTTCGAGATAAAAAATTCAGTTAAAATGGTAATCGCTTGGGAAGAGCAGCGCATGTTCATAAACCATTCTGAGCTTTCACTAGTTCCATCTAAGCCAACGCAGAGGCAAGGTATTATATCGTTCGGCGATTCGCACTTAGGCACTTTTCCTCGTTAACATCAAAAACATTATCCAGAGTTTCAGTTTTTGAATTTGACTTCAACCACTTTTTTTCTCAATTGAAGATAATAGCATGCGATACAAAAGTCTTCGGAAAAATGTTAAACTCTGTTAAATCATATTACAAACTTCTAGGCCAATGAAATTTGTTTCTTCTGGAAAAAGTAATATTTGAACTAAAAAATTTATACCAAACATATTCTTCCAAAACGAATTTAAGAAGCAGAAGGTAAACCTAAAAACCAAGGACCCTCTAAAAAGAAGTTCTTGCAACGTTTTTGAAACTTGAAAAGTTTCGATTTCTAAATCATTTTGAGTTATGTGAACAAAAATAAATGCATTAAGATGCAGACTGTTAAAACCTCTATCGTTATTAGCATCGGTGAAATTTTTCAGATCCGTTCTTGACTCTTTAATAAAAGAAAATCTAAAGTCAAAATTTTTGTGAAATAGAGTCTTGGTCAAGAACGATCAATTTCGAAGGACATCAGCCACAATACCCAGAAACCATGCATAAACTGAATTCTTTGAGCGTTATTTGTTCGAAATATGTCTTATCATACAGACTTAGCAGAAAAAAAACAATTCAAAAAATATTTTTTATTGTTACAAAATCTTCAGATAGTAGGAACGACTGAATTTATACAGTTTCTTTCAGAAAAAAGCTATATGCCAGCATAAAGTGATGTTTACTTTTTCATTTTTAATAATCGCATATGTCGATGGTTTCAAAAGAGACTTGACTCGTTCGGTTGTATACTGTTTTACTAGGTGATGATGAATCAGCACAGGTCGTTCAAGAAAAAGTGTTAACAAAAGCTGATGATTGAGAACGTTTAATAGGAATAGAGTTCGAATTAGAAAAATGAATTGATGATGAATGAGAAGAGCTAGACAAACACATTTTATTGGATACAAAGAAAGTATTTTAACTTGGCCACAATGTTATCTTTTGTTTTATATTTGCTGTTCATTGAAGAAGGTTTTAGCACATTGAAAAATTATATACGATTTTCGAAAAATAATTAAGTGAAAATATGCAACGTCTTTTGAAAATTTTATATTTTATTCTACATTCAGCTCATGGATGCCCATCGCAATATCGAATCCAAATACTCTCAAAAAATGGTCATCTGTTTATAGAAGTGCATTTTAATATTATAATAAAAAGGTTTCAATTGAAAAAAACGGGCTCTATCAAACACTGCAGATTCACATGCTCCTACACATAAAAAAAAGCATATTTTTCAAGCAAAAGATGACGGAAATTATAGAAAGTTTTTGAAAAGAAACGACATTCTACATAAAAAATTATATTGCTTGTAAAAGATTCAACTCCGAACTGTTCTCCAATGCATTTATCTTAATTCAACAATTCTAACGAAAATGAACTTTTTTTTGAGACAAGGAAAGGCTTGAAATATTGATATTTAGCAAAAAGCATTGACAACATGGCTATAGTTTTCACCAATGAAAAATCAGACTCATTTTGTACATCAACGTTATCCAACGACGATTTTTCGTTAATCACAAGAAGATCGAAGGTTATCTGAATGGCAAAATTGACTCATTAAACTTATTCTCTGTCTTGATGATATGTAAAATATGAAACATGAGTGAACATATTCATCTGTATCACCGTTTTTTTTCAACAAATATTATCCTCAAAAAGAACGACATTATTTTTGTGAATATGATATTGAATAAAGATAATAAACATAGGTGTTTATGATGTGTCTTATCCATTTAGGAATCAATCCAAATTTGAATGTTAGATACTTTTTTCGGATCTCTTATCACCAAACAGGTCGATGATAAATGTTTTTGTAACCAGGTAACAAGTTCATCATTTGCTGTTGATGATGACCAGATATTCCATTCGTCATCATTACATTGAACAGTTAACGAACGAAGATTTGTCATCGTTTTAATAAGTTCAAGAATATTTGTTTGACATTGCACATCAATTACAAGAACTTCGCAGTGAAATCCAAGTGGAGAATTAGACAAGGCAGTACACTCAACATTGTTAAAGTAGAAATTATTCGGTATAGTAGGTGATTGAACGAAAACTAGACGTCGAAGAGATTCATTTTTCACCTGAAATAATGTGGGGTGAATAGAAGACCAATGTTGAATAGTTAATGAATAGAGGTGAGGTATTCGATCAAGTAGACCTTCTAGTAAAAAATGATCAGAGTTTAAAGGCAATGTTATATGAAGCGAGACTAATCGATTCAATGAAACAATTGTGAAAAGATGATCATTGAATGGAAGATCGATTTCAAGGTGACGAATATTGAGAAAACGAGAAGAATGTGTATTCGATTCGTTGGATAAATATTCGTCTTGATTTGAATATCGAAGTACTTTTACTCGATCAAAACGTTGAAATATTTTATTTTCAGGACAAGTTGATTTTGATAACTGTTTACTTGCATAAGTTAAATCTTCAAAGGCATAAGGTAAAGTGTAAAGAACGTCACAATTGAATGCATTAGTTGGAATGTAATCATACTGTATAAACCATTGATGTTCATCAATCCAGAAATGAGTACGAAATGAATCAAGTAGTTTATCGATTTGCTCTTCTTTATTTTTATGAGTTGGAAAACTAAATTCCATTTTTAGTCGAAATACTTTGATCTTAGATAAATGATTGATAATAATCTCTTCCCATTCATATCCATTCAAAAACATACTTGATGTGCGTATTGTTAAAGAATATAAATTAGATACAATTCGAAAAAGTTTCTCCAAAGAATACATCGAACCTGAAAATGAAATATTCATTGAAGATAACGATGAAACAATAGGTTGTAGCTGTTCATCTTCGTAACCAATTACATCCATTATATGAATACATCGTAAGCAAGGTGTACATTGAAACAAATTAAATAAAATACTTAAAGGGCAATAAATATTTTTCATGGATAAGTATTCAATTGATTGTGAGATTGTTGGCATACTAGTAAATAACAGCTTACTAACAAAAATATTATCTAAGTTGCAATGAGTAAGTTTTGATAAACTCCAAATATTGTTAATTAAGTAGAGAATTTCTCTTTCTCTTTGATCAAAATTACATTTGATCACATTTAGATGTATGAGATATGGAAGATGATGACATTGAAGTAATATTTCATTTAATATACTAAGAGAATCCATATGATATAATGAAAGTGTTTGCAAATGATTGAATCGATTGAGAGTAAAATCATAGGAAAGGAAAAGCTGAAGTAAATTTGGTGTTTCATTGTCATTGGATAGATGAAGTGTAATGACTTGATTGATAATTATTGGAAGATATTGTTGACAAACAATACTGAAATTATGTTTTGATAAAGATCGAAAATCAAGATGATAGGTTTGAAAACGATTGAAGAGAAGCATATTAAAACGAGAATTGAGACCATTAAAAGCATGAAGAAGATGAATATCATCCAATAATTCAAATAAATCAAGTAAAATTTCATTAGCTAAATCTTCAAGTTTCATCTTTTGATTTATTTTTGTCTCATGCAAAAAAATAAAATGTGTGAAGCATTTTTTTTGATAAAGAAAAACAAATGTCACGTTTTCTTTTTCTTTCTTCTATTCCTATTTATTTCTAGTTGGGGATATAATTTGTTTGTCTTTGCCTTTCATTACAACGCATACTAAATAATGAAAAAAATGAATCTAGTTTTTAACAAGAAAGTTATTGTGATCTTATTATGAAAATTTCGTAATTGTTTAGAATAGATAAACATTTTAAATCTAATTAAATAATTGCATATCAACTGATTCGAAATTTTCAATCTCGTACCGATTCATTAAAAGTTACTTTATTTGAAAGAACATAAAAAGCTGAACAAAACGTACTAGTGTTTTTATAGGCGTACTGCCAAGTCTTCAGCAAAATTTTTTACAAATAGATGTTCCACCATAAACGATAAGGGTCTTTCATTCTCTCTGAATCACCTTTTTTTTTCGTTACTTCGTTTTCATCATTCTGCTTGATATATATACGAACGTATAAGCTTGTAAACTTATTATTTGTCCAGCTGATAACGAACGAAAACAAAATATCTTGTTATACTGCTCATGATGATGACTATGATGATAATGAGATTTTAGTTTAATTCAGAGACAAGTACTAATTTTAAAAAATATTCGGAATAAAAATAAGACACTTATATGGAATCGTATTTGATCATTATTTTGAGAAAATTTTAATTCCTAAACTGAATATTAGAAGTTTTATGCATCGTTCAAAAATATCTATGGAGTTTCTGCTCTAGTCGAACTTCCTTTGCCATGCTCGTAAAGTTTTTGAGTATCTCAAACAAGAAAGTTCTGTGATATGGACACATCTTGAGACAAGACTTGAAGCCTTTAGCAAACTCAGACATTTGAACTTTTTGCTCCATCACTCAGCATTCGTATTCACGCACACGAATTCTGGCTTTAGTGGGTGTAAGGATGATAACAAACGAGATACTTTAAGAAAAACATTACGATCTGCACACATTGACAACAAAAGTTCGCTTCTATCACACGCTAGCGATAGTAATACTCCATTGACTCCGATCATCTATCACAACTATGAAAACGATATCTGTGATACGCGAAACTAATTTTAATTATATGATGTGGATGCTTTTTATTTTTTATTAATCAGTATTACATTGAAAAAGATTCGATTCATAATAAAAATTTGCAGGTTAAAGAAAAACGTCTGTAACAGGCAAGCCAAAAAGAGGATCTATATAAGTAGATTTAGGCATACTCAGTAGCAAGTAGTATTCTTTCATCTTGAGCACAACAGGTTTTGTTATTTTATTCCAGTTGATTGTTTCAAGGAGATGTACAGCATCTATCTGCGTGAGCCCATGCACGTATGAAGGATATTGTTGGAAAATTATGGGTTATAGAAAAGTTTTTTTCTATGAGAAATCAAAGGAAAATATTTTTTTCGTGGAAATTATGACACAAAATTTGTGTACAGGTCATATGATTTATTTGCCAATAGAGATCAGTGCATCTGCGTTTTTGTTTCTGTTACCATTTAATATACGCATGTCTCTGTCAACATGTTTATGTCCGGGTTCAATCATGCTAAAATGTTTCTAAAATCAGCAACCTTCAAGACTATCAAAATTACTCGATGAACGATGAAGCTGATTTTTTTTTATATAAAGTATTTTTCATAAAGTGACTTTGTTTCTTTCTTGCTTTCTTTAGATACAGGAATGTTCAGAATAAAGCGATTTCTTTTATTTTGACAGCGACGTAAGTTTTGAAGGATTTTTCTTCGTGCGAGACAACATTCATTTTAGCGGCAAATTCTGCACATATGGTTTCAAGTGTGCTCATGAGTATAGTTTTCATGAATTCGTTGTGTAAGCTGCTTCAAATATCCACATAACTCATGCAAGTATTTTTATATGCTTACCTATGGAAAGAACTTCATGTGATATGGACACATATTGAGATCTGTGCATGCGACTAGAGTAGTACTTTTATTTTCTTTATCATTCAAAACATCGATTTCTTTTGTTGTTAATACTTTTGAAATGGATTATCAATAAACATCACGTTGCGCACGCGTACCGACTTACCTTTCTATTATGCGTGGAGAACTGAAACGCAAAACGTTATCAAAATGAGAAATGCATCTGAGTCGTGGCTCTCCACAAGAAGGAGCTTTATCATTGCTGTATAGCAAAACATAAGTGCCTATAAGAGAATTACAGCTCAATGCCTCCGCACCCACTTCGTTACATATTTACTCAGTGTTAAATTTTATCCATGAATAAATAACAAGCAGCAATTCACATAAGTATATATAGGAATCTGAGTTTGCATTGTGAATTTCATTATTGTACACTCTTCTCAACCTTAGCTTCAACATTCGCTACAAATAATAGTTAAGTCGTTATTCTAAGCATATATAAAAATGAACACATAAGTGACTTGTTCTACTATATTTAGTTTTCACAATCAAAATGCGTCTACTTGCATTCGTCTTAGGCATTTGTATGCTCATCAGTGCTATGATGGCTTTCTCGTATGAAGCCTGGTCAAAAAATAACTTTCAAGGTACGGTCAAAACATACACGCAGCATGGTACCTTCTATCCTGGCTATACCATCAAGTCATAGAGGTGGACAAGCAAATCCGGTGATGGTTGCTGTGTCGGCATGTGTAATGGAGGCGGAAGTGTTGAATATTATTGCCTGTCGAAATCGAACGGTGTTCTAAGCGCAGCCTTTAACAAAATTGTCATCGGATGTGGCAATGAACAACTTAACTGTTAAAGAGAAAGAGAGCTCTCGATTTGAAACATTATACTAGCAGCGTAATTCAAAAGTACTTCTTGTTTCAATTCGCTTGATTTATATATTATTTTAAGAAAAACAATGTAAATACATTATTTTCTGCAAAGCCATTCATTTTCTTATCTGGTTTTTAATTTTTCGAAATTGACATTCTGCGTTAAGATCATTGCATCGATAACTGGATGAAGAGGGACCTCCCATCCATCTTTGCCTACACTCATTGTTGCTAATCGAGCTGGATCAGCACAATAAATGATCGTGTTCCGTTCTCCTCAACATAACAAGCAGCTTTATCTACAGGAGGTATCATTTCAACTCCGTTCGTAACATAAATCGCTAATCTTAGTGATAGTTCTCAGTAAAAAGAACTCGATATTTTACATTTGTATCGCATTAAAGTGTCATGCTTGACATAAGTAAAATGTTTTCTTGTATTTCATTGAACGTTTATAGCATAAAATTAACATGCAACTATTGTCAGATTTTTTTGAAAATGCTAATCATCATTTCTTGAATAACTTTCGACTAGTTCCAGCTATCGAACTAAAGCTTTCACTATACAAAGAAACAATTTTAGAGACAGATTTTTCGATATTTTATTCCTAAGACTCTCGTGATCATATGAACTCAAATCACATAAAATTGTAGCTCATCGACCGTTTTATCTCAGGTAAATTTTCTAGAGTGCATCCATCTTTTTCGATTTTAGATTGATCCAAGTAGTTTATCAAGTCAGATGGAGGTATATCCCAATACGTTTTTTGAAACTACATGGGGACTTTATTTTCTCTTCTTTGTTGAATAAAACCACACGAAAACGCGTTTGATTCTGGGCAAATACTTTCTTACAGCCTCATCCGAACCAAAAAAAAGCTGAGTGTCTGCATTGTTGTTGGTAATCATAATCACATTAATTGTTCTATTCGTCATATTGTACGAGAATAGAATAGGATAGAGATACTATTCTTGAGATGTTATAGTTGTTTTAATAAACTTTCGTTCAATCATATTTTTTCTGAAAACCAAACATGTAGTTTACTAACTAGAAAAACTTCATCATCTACAATTAAATCATACAGTGTCTACTTTCTCTTCGATTCTGCCAGTAGATATATGCAGTATTATAATAGATCACTTGATAAGACACCTTTAGCATGGTTGAAACTGGTCGTAATATCTAAAAAACCCACCCACACCTACTCTGTTCTACTCATTTTCAAAATAATGATGTTTAATTATAAATTTTCGAGAAAAATATTAAGAGTGCAGTATAGTCATTCTTTACGAGATGAATAAGAAATTTTTCAAGAGGTGAGATAAGAATGCATACTCAAATGAAAAGAGAAGATGATTTTTTTATTCTAATATAATGCATCCACACCATGTTATATTGTTTATGCTTGTTTTTCTCTTATATAAAAACAATGTTGTATTATCATCAAATGCATACTATGCTATTAGACCATTTCAAGGGTATAGAAACTAACTTATAAAAGTTATTTGATATTTTTTTTTTGAATATCTAATAGGATTCCACATTATGGAAGTATTTTTAGTTATCATCCTCATTCATCAGCATTTCGATTCTATGCAAATTTTTCATTTGAAATCGATGATAATACAACAGATTTGTATTATTTTGAAGCAGGTCCAGTTGCTGTTGTAAAAAATACATATTCAACAATATACATGCCTATACAATGTGGAACTTCATTTCAACGTTTACTTCTATTAAAATATGATATAAAAAAGAAAAATTATAAACAAAGCCGATGGCTTTTAAACAATGGAGTATTTCATTTTCTTCATTATGATCCACGTCGTCAACGTCTATTTGGTTTACGCGATGTCAGTACATTTACACTTATTATTGAAGAATTTAATCTGATGACATTAGACGTTATACGAGAATATACTCGACAAGATGGAGAAAAATATGCATTTCCTTATGCATGGTGTTCCGTATTTGATCCCGATGAAAATTGGATTGTGCAAGTTCGAACACGATTTGAAGGTGGTAGCATCAATGCATATTATATTAAAATGGATTTAAATCTTGTTGGAAAGAAAAAAGATATTGTTACTGAATTTTATCTATTGCCAAAAGTTTATAATCTTTGTACAATGACTTATGATATAAAGACAAAAGTTATACTTGCAACATGGCAACATGGTTCAATTGATAAAGATATTGTTATGATCTATATGAATCCTTACACAAGCAAGTTTCGAAATGAGATACTTCTTTTAAAAACACCATCAGGATTGGTTGTTGAATCTATCAAAGCCGTCTTTAACGAATCCAACCGTCAAGTATTGTTTATGATCAAACAAAGTAGTGCAGCATTAACCGGAAAAACTTCTTGGTCAATCATTGTCGATTTTGATACAATGAAAATAATACAAAAAAAACAAGCGACCTCAATATCAGCTTTTGATTCATGGGAATTTTTTAATACATAAATATTGCTCATCTATACAAAATTTCATTATTTTTGAGTATGATTAGAAGATCTATCCATTATCATCTATGATATCTAACAAACAACCAGTAATAGAATTAGATAAGGCAAATATGATCACTTAGATGAATATCTCGCCTTTCGACGACTACTTTGTGGGATAGTGTGCTGATCAACAGCATTTCCGATAGTTTTTTCGCTTAACTGTCTCAAATTCCCATAAACACTGACTAATCACGTACTATTCACAAAAGTCGATGTATGTCACTATGTAGTCAGGGGTGATTCAAGACTAATAGTTGTTAATGACTTGTCCAAGTCATTCTATGACAGGTGGTATCGAGAGTTGAACATATTACCTTGTGAATACATGTTGAGCAATGTAGCCACTCAACCATGACACAACTTCATGATCACTAAAACTTCCACTGTTCCTCAAAAAGAAGTCAGTTTTCGTCAAAAACATGAAAATTGAGATAAATGAATGGAAAGATAGCCCGAGGTCTGACCTTTCATAAATGAGATGGTGTTTTTCAGATAAAATGGAAAATCTTTTTCAGTTTTTCTCTGTTTATAGTTTTTTCATCGGATATCCCAGAATTTTCAAAGGAGCTTCATTGTAGACAATTGTTGTTTTTTTTTTGTTTGAAAAATCATGTCAAGATGCAGGGCATGATTAAGCTTTGTTACTAATTATTAGACAAAAGTGTATTTTTATAATAAGAGTACTATTTTTTGAGAGTTTTTCAAGATATAGAACTTTTCATTATTGTTCGCCTTTTTATAAATAAAAATTTAAAAAAAATGATTCTGTCATGTCCTGCATCCTGACATGTTCTTTTAAACAAAAAAAAATAATTGTAGAGGATAAAGGCACACAGAAGATTTTGAATTGTTACATGAGCTATTTTCGATTCTTGTTAGTTGAATAATTCCGAAAAGCATCATGATATAGAGCTGAAAATTTTATCATAACCTCTCCATTGCACAATGCTTTTAGATTTATTCTTTTTAGATTCTTGTTTTTTTTTAAGAGGTCAGGCAACGTTCTTTTTACATATATATTAGCTAATATTCTTGCCTGACAAAAACAACACATGTTATCTTTCTGACAAAAATCACGTAGGTCGAATTTTTTTTAGATGAAACATCTCGTCAGGCGAAATTCTTGTCCCTTTGTATGATTTTTGTGTTCTTGAAATGTTGCTTGCTTCTGACAGACAGTTTAGGAATAACATTTGCTACAGGTCAACAAGGATATTGCTTTTCGTTGCTGCTTCATTTTTTCTTTCAAGCGTTTAACAAAATACTAAAATAGCCACACCAAACGTCTATCTAATTTCATGCAAATTAGATAAAGCGCAAAAAAAATGACAGGGACAAGATTTGCATAATAAAAGGAAAAAAACATTCGTAATGATACTATCAAGCTGACATGTACATCAACAAGAAGCAACAAATAATCGAAATAATATATTTGTATGCCAATACTCTTCTTCATATTCATCACCTGAAATTGATAATTTTTTATCGTTCAACGATATACATAGTTTTGATAATATGATTTTTATAAACTTTCTAAAATCAATTTCTATGCAATTCATTCATAAATCTACCAATGTACTTTTTCTATTCAATATCTGTATTCACAGAATATTGACTTGTTACTAATATATTATTCGAATAAGATAGTTTTTGTTTATCAAATTGAACGTAATTATCTATTTTTAGAAATGAATAAATAACGCTCATATATCTCCCAGAAAAAAGAATAGTTAAACTTAATATTTATAATATACCATGGCTATAAATAAATATTCTTACAATAGTAATTATATATTCTGATAGCACACAGTATTCTCTACAACCCTACCTATGTACGTTTTAAATTTCAGTTGTTCATTAAAGTAGAAATTCAAGCACAATGCAGACAGCTTCATCGTCAGTTTTTCCGGAAATGTATTTTTTTTGTTCCTGTTTCATTGACTCTTTCAAATTTATTTTAACATGGGAACAAGTTATTACAAAAGTAAGTATATATTCTGAAAATGTGTAAAATATTCTATCATTTTGTGCTTTTATCAAGCTTGACTTTCAATTATTTAATGATAAATATTTTGAATATTGTTAAGATATTTACATATCACATTCCTCGATCAAATGTTGTTCAGAATTTGGACAACATCTCTGTACACAGTAGTTCATATAATACAAAAAGAAAATCTTTGAATTATATTAAGATCACGTTTGACAGATGATTAATTATCCATGTATGAACAATGTTAAGTATTCGAGACTGAAAGTGTCAGAATAAGGATACATTAACAATAATCGAAAAATTTGTTATCCAATAATGGGAAGTCAAGATTGACAAAAATACAAGACGATAGAAAATTTCATGTACTTTCAGAACATATAATTACTCTTTTAATAGCTTATTCTTCTATTAAAATATATTTTCGGAGAATCCAACGATGAGGGTACCTTCACTGTACTTGAATTTTTATTTTAGTGAACAACTGAAATTCAAAACATACATAATTACTTTTGTAAGAATACTAATTTATAGCAATGATATTATTTTTAAAAAGTTAAATCTAACTTCATATTTTCCAGGGAACGATATAGGTGTAAATTGCAATTTTTTGGTACGATTGGCATGAAAAACTGACATCAGGCTTAAATAAATTCTGATTAGTATATTTTTGCCTATGTTAAGCAACAATAGTTTTCCAACATTTCACTAAATATTAAGAGAAATACACATTGTAAAGTTTTATTTCTGCTTAATTCAATTATAAAAGCGACTTTACTCATTAGAAAAGTTCCAGTCATTGTTCAGTTCTGGATAAAAGTCAGGAAAACGCAACAATACATTCCAATTTGTTTGCTATATCCTATTCATGTAAATTATAGTTTAAGAAAAAAATATTTTTGAATACGTTGGACTGGAGACATCTGCAAAAAAATTTTTACTCACAAAGTGAGTCTAATGACCTTTTTTCATCAAGTCCTATTATCTTTTTTTCTAAAACAAGGTTAATAAGAAAAAAAACTTTTCTTATCAGTTTGTTACTAAGAGTTCTTTTTCTTTTCATATAATCTGCGCATTACTAGTTCTATCACAGACAGAGTTAGAATCAAGTTTGTGTCACTCTACACAAAATATACAAGTGTCTATCAAAGAATGTGGACGTTGGACAAAGGACTGGAGAAGAAATTAAATTTATATAAGTTACATATTTATTAATAGAACTCCAAACGCTATATACAAAATAGACTAATTACATTGTTTTCTTCTTGTTTTTCTTTTATAGTCGAAAAATTTCTTTTTCCAGGCACATATCAACAAATAATCATAGTTTTTTTGTTTTGTAATATATCTCTCATAAATTCATGAGAGTATAAACTAAAGAACTGGAAATTTTGTATGGTAATGAGGCGTACGAAAAAGTATAACATGCAAAAAAAACTAATGTACACCAATTCAGAGAAACAGAAGTTATTAGCCAAATACAACTAAAACTTGAAGTGTACTAGACAGTTGTAATTCACTCATATGAATACGCCTATATATGTAGACGTCGCGTGACTGTTGTTGTCTTAAAGATCAGACAAGAATCCTTTTTCTTCCATATCGACAAGAACTTAAATTGAATTTTATGATAAAAAAAGAATTCTGTATGATCAATTAGAAAAGTCAAAAATCTGGAAATATCTACATCTAAGAACGTAAATTATTGTTATACTTATAAGAAAATATTTTCAAATTTGACACACTGCTTTAAACAGATATCATGCAAGTTTACTGAATTCAACGTCTGATATCAAAACATTCATACTTATCATATATTATTAAAAAAATTAATATTGTATGAAAAATCATTATGAGACTCATCTTACTATCAATTCAATATTTTTTAGCTTCGTTTTATGATCAAGCGTGATCTATTTATGGTAATAATTAGATTTTATCATAATCTTACTGTTCTACATTTGAGCATAATGTCAATAGACAAAAGATTAAAAATTTGTAATCATATTCGAATAAAGACATAAATAAAACTATTGATGAAATATCTTCTTTTTTTTTTCTAAATAAGATTTAACATTTATTTTCTATATTAAGCCAAAATCTGTTTCAGCTTTGATAATATAAAATGAAACTAATGATTAATTCTATAGAACAATAAATGAGATTGAAAGTATAGAATGAATCTGATTCTAATATTTTTTTTTTATACGAACTCAAAAAAAAAAGCAAAGACACTCGAATTGGAAGAGGTCATCTTTTTTAAAGGTAAATGTACCGTATATTAATTAATTGTCTTTAGTTGATTTCTTTAATTTGTAATGAAAATAAAAAAAAAATTATTGTTTAATGACCATTAGAATATATGGTTTCATTGCATTCATATTTTTCATTTAAGTGAGTGTTATGCATCATTACACGATTTATTTTTGATCAAAAAAAAAATCATTCAACCATTCTATTATTTGATCATTAACAAAAAAATAATATACATATATAAGTATAGTTTTTGTAATTGGCAAAACGAGAAGAAAAAGAAAATTATCGATGTCAAAAGTAAAATAGATTGGTTTTATTAAAACAAAAAGAACGAAGAAAAAACTATCAATGTCAAAGGTGAGATAAGTTGTTTTTATCGCATCTAAATACAATATATATATATTTATATATTTTCAAGCAATAGGAATCGTCGTCTTTATTTCTTATTTTTCTGACAACATACTCGATGTATTTTCGAGAGGATTCAATTAAACGACTTCTTTTTTTTTTTTTTTTTTTTTATTAGACAAAAAGACGATTGGTATTGTACTGTCTTTCTATTATAATATTACACGCCTACGACAAGAACAACTTGATATTGTTGAGAGCAACATAATTAACAATGAACAAAAAAATAATTCATTTATACATTCAAGTTTCGGGAATAGACAACTCAAAGAATGAGAAAAAAGAAAAAAATTATTAAATATCATGATAAATAGTCAAATTGAGTATTTTAAGATAAATGTAAGTATTTATCATTACATATAAAATAGCATTATAAATACTTTTCATGATTTAGAAAAAACCTAAAAACAAACGATATTTACGATAAATTTCACTATAATAATGAACAATGGTTGAATGAGTTTATGAGATAAAATTTCGTTTAGTTTTTTTTTTTCCCTCCATTGTCTAATTTACCATCTCATTGTTATTCTAATTGTCTAACAAGTCTTTTCTTTCTTCCTATTCTTGATGAAATAATTTTTATGATCGAGTGTAAAAATTGTCGATGCGAACGAACATCATTTCTTATCTATGTGTATATACAACAATCCAGTCATTTAGAGATTTGTTTTGTTGAATATTAGTGATATACGAAAAACAGATAGATTCTTTTCTCTATAGAATTTGTTTGTTAGATCTAATTGAGAAGAGCTAGATTGGATTTCTCCGTCAAAAGCGGGAGAACTTTTTTACAATATTTAGATGTCAAAAAAGAGTGAACGTGTTAGTAGATTATTTGTAGTTCATTTATAAACAAAAAACAAAAGTCACTTGTGCATAGGAAGAATCGGTTTTGGCTCAGCGCCGATCGTTATAATGATTACTGTTGATCTCTATTTTCTTTTTTCTTTGCTAAAGAGATTTTTTTTCTCCAATGAAAGAAGAGACAAAAAAAAAAGTGAATTAGTCTTTTTTTTTCTTTTTATATCATCATCTATCTATAATAGTAAAATATACAGATGTATAAAATAGTTCATCAACAGTGCAATCGTTGACGACTAATTAGAATTTCCTAAATATGTTTTCTTGTTTTTTTCTATTACTTTCTCTTTTTCTTGTTCTGTAGGACTATATATTTATTTGTGCTAGTTGTGCACGAAAAAAGATACTAAGAAAAAAAAAAGAAAAAACAAATGAAGACTTATACTTTATACAATTTTTCGAAACTATACATATAATGTCAAGAAAATCGTCGTTCAATAATACAGGTTTTTCAATTTATTATTTAATTAAACACAAAACATCGATTTACCTATCATAGATATATGTTAAATCTTACAAAATTTTTCCCAAGAAAATTTCTTGTATTCTTTCTCTTTTTTTTTTTCTTCTTTCATAGATATATTTAGCTACACTTATAAGCGTATATTTGATCTCATGGATAATAATAGGAAGAGTTTAAGAGCTAATACTGATGAAAAAATTTTCCATTTATTTTTGTTTAGTCTTTTTTTTTTCAATTATGAGAAATATATCTAGATGAAAGCGGTGTATAAATGAATTTTTATGTATGGCAAATAAAAGGTATGTATATGTGTATTTTTTAATCAAAGTAGAGGATTATTATAGAATAATTTATTCTTTATTATTTTTTCAACTAAATCTCTGTTAGTTGATGATGATCGTCTGACGATATATTACGATATTGCATGTAACCCATAGAAAAAACAAATAGAAATTGGAAGATTGATTTCATATTTGCTTGAACGGCTTTCAACTAAACGAAGTGTTCCTTTTTCTATTTTTGTTTCTTTATGAGAAAACAATGACTATAACAATAGCAATAACAACAAAGACAAATGGATAGCTCTCTTTTTTTCTCTTCTCTTCAATAGATCTTTTCAAAAGAGAGAACCTGATTGAATGAATGAATATGTTTGGCATGCTCTAACTACTCACAAATTTGATTCATTATAGAAACACAAATGACAGTAGTAAGCAATAAATCGATATTATTATTTGTGTGTATAGATTCATTTGCTTGCTGTAGACTTTTTTGTTGTATTGTTAAGACATTCGTGCTGTCTCCATTATTGTTTTTGATATATGAGACAAAAAAAGAAACGAGAACATCAATAACTCTAGGTCTCTATTCAAATCATCACTGCCGCGATATGCAGCGTGACAACTGGTCCGTTTGGTTGCATTGGCAGGCACATACTTGAGAAAACTTGTCGTCATGGTATTGTATTCACTAATATCTTGTACTTCATAGAAAAATATTCGAGACACCAGTCTTCTTCACATACCAATCCATAAAAAGAGAAAGAAAAGAAACTGCTAATGTTCTTATATTGTCTAAAACGCCGAACATTTGTTCTTATTGCAAAAGAAAACGAATGTTTTCTTCTTTTCACAATTTCTTCATTTAAGAAAAAAAAAAAGAAAAGTTTTATCTTACAATTTCAATAATAAACAACATCTGCTACGTAGTTAATTTCATTTTCATTTTAGCTTCATTACAAGAAACATAATGATGATATAGACAGAATGAAATTTCTTATCTTGTCATTCCCTCAACGATGATGAAAACAGATCGTTTACTACCTATATATATATATATATATAAGCAAGAGATGACAAACAAGTCTAGTTTTTTTCTTCTGTTTCTAGATTTTCTTTGTAAACGGTATGTTGAATAGAGAACAATGTTTGAAAGTTCTAATTCAACATTTTTAATTGATATTACAACAATATCAACACCATTATCATTATTCGATGATAATATATCAATATTAATAAATGATCAAACATTATTAAAATATTCAAATTTATCATGTAATCAAATTAAATACAATTATGTTTCACAAAAGCCTTTATTTAATTTTGTTCGTTATGTAACACATAATTTAAATCGATTTTTTATTTTACCAGCTATTATTTTAAATTTATGTGCTTTTTATATCTTAAGACGTACACGTATGAATCGTTCATCATCTATAGCATTCTATATGCAAACATTAGCATTATGTGATGTAGCATTTTTTGCATTAAGAGTTCTCTTTGGAGAATTATCGAGTTTATCAACTAATAAACATATATTAACAACTGGTTTATGTAAATTTCTCTTTTTAATGGTTAATGCAGTGAACTATACAACTGGTAAGTTAATTTTTCTATGAAAGAGATAGATAGATAGATTGATGTTTTGTATATTAATCAAATTCATCAATCACGAATATAAATACAAATGGCAATGTATCGTTTGTTTTTGTGTTTAGGAAACTTTCAGGGTTTATTGCTGTATTTCGTGTTTAAATGAATATTAGATTTACACTAGAATGTCAAAAAAAAAAAGAAAGAAAAATAATAATTCGACAGATTACTGATGATAGATTAAGATTGATAGTACTCTTTTTTTTTCCTGCTTAATATTTACCATTTAAAAACTTGAAAAGGATATTAAATAAGATATTCGATGAAATGAAAATAACATAATTTATTATTTTTTTTGTTTGGAATATTTATATGATTGTTTAAGTTTAATTATCTCAAAGTATGATGACATTATGTTCAATCCTAATAAATCATTTGAAATGTGTGTGAATTCTATATATTTGGAACTCTTTTGAACTGTGTTATGGACACTCACTCAAGAAATTTTTAAAAGCAAAGATGAATATATATGTAGAAATTTCTGTGAAAAGAATTAATCCACATTTTCTTATCGGATACATTCACACTGCATTATTACAAATGAATAATAGGTAACTGGGATTATTAGTATACATATTTGTTTTCATCAGAATATAGAGTGAAGTAGTAAATTCGTAGTTTCATGTACAGAATAACATCCATAACAACTTCTATTATACTTTTTTTATTTCTAGTATGGCTTATTGCTGCAATGAATGCAGATAAATTTCTTGCTGTTTGTTTACCATTGCGTGTATCTGACTTATTATCAAGAAAAAAAGCATATGCTGTGGTCATAGCTGTTATAATTTCTTCAATGCTTGTAGCATCTGTACATGCCAGTCGAACAGTATTAAAAAATAATTCATATTGTTGGCTTAAAACATCACAAGATGAAAAACTTGTTTTTATTCTTGATGCATTTTTTTGGTGCTTTATTCCATTTATTGTTATATCTATATTAAATGCTGCAATATTTCTTGCTTTATTGCGAGCACGTCGTGAAGCATCACAATTACAAGAATCAACAAGAGGTATTGTACAAACATCAAAAAATCAATTTGCTTCATCAGTCAGCAGTCGTACACGTGTTCAATCACAAAATCTTCAGATAACAATAATGCTTATAACAATTTCAATATCATTTTTTGTTTTAACATTACCGAATGCTATTTATTATTTACTTATATTTTTACGTGTTTTTATTGAAAGTTGGAAAGCTGTTAAATGTGATGTAAATTTATATCGAAATCTTGATACATATGTACGAACATCGGCTGTTATGTATCTTATATCAAATATAACATCAGATTTAATGCACGTGGTGAATTTTTTTCTTTATTTTATAAGTGGTGCAAGATTTCGTTCTGAATTTCGTCGTTTAATATTTCATCAATTATGTCATTGGTGTTGTAAACGACGAATTAATAGATTTCGAAAAGACATTAAATCTAATAATCAACGATCATTTTTAAGTGCGAATGGTGTATCAACAATACGAGTATTAGCACCAAAACCTGGTGACACTAAACAAAAATCTACATCAAATAATAATAGTTTTACAACATCAATCAAAGATAAAAAAACAGTAACATATTTATCATCAACCAAGAAGAAGAAGGTACTTGGTGAAAATGCATTGATATCTGCTGGAAGTCAATCTAGGCGAAATCACCATGGAATCCCAACAACAGAAAACGGTGGCAAAAATGAAGATGATAATCTTCTTCGACATATATAAAAATTTCATAAATGTTTTTTTTTTCTTCTCTATTGTATTTTTTTTCCTCGTATAACATAAATAATATTTCATAATGAGAAATTCTATTTCAATAATATATTGTAAATGAAAGTATGTCGAAGTAAGATGTAATAAATGATTATTATGTCTTAGTTAGAAGTATCGCTTAAGTCAAGAATGCATACATATGAGTCATAAGGTACTGACTTTTTTTTCCCTTCTATCATTGAGTATGCTATTCTTACTTGATCTTAGTCATTTTAAGAATAAGAAAAATGAATGTCACAAGAAAATGCATGCCAATAGTAGTAGTACTATTACGACTGAATGAATAGACAGGAAGCTATGATAAGTAGTACTCATTGTCATTGTTTATTCTATAAACAGAAAAGATAATGATGTTATGAATCAATCGATATTTTATCATGAATCTTGAAGAACGAACTTTTTTATTGCTCTTAAAAATTTGTTAAGAGATATTACGATACTTTTTTTATATATGTATTGTAATATAAAATTAGAAAAGGAAACTATTGATTAAAGTGCTCTTTGTTTTCTGTTAGATGAATATAAGTAATTATAGATATTTGAACAGTGCATAAAAGAATCATGTAAAACTTTTCGATCGCCCGAAGATGAATCTATTTATCTCGAATGTTATTACTCGAAATCTTAGTTATAATTTAATAATTATTACTATGACGTGTACGTATCTTGAATAAAAAGATTTCCGATGAAGTAAGCAATACAAGCTAAAACGAGAAGAATTTCTTTTTGTGCCCACGCTTGGCAGTGTCTTAATTAGATGTTTACACTCTTTGACTATATCATTTATTTGATGACATATTGACAATAAATAAACACAAAAGTACAATAAAACGACAATTCAAGGTCATCAATTAATTTTGCACTTTATTCTTATCCCGTTGAATGAAGAAATAATCGTCTTCTCATTGAGCATCTGAGTACATATACTAAACGATCATTTTTTAATCTTAAACAAAAGATTTGCAAGAAAATGAAAAAGCGAAAATTGACCGACACGAAAATAATTAGATTTGCATATTAGTCAAGAAATTCATAATAAGAATACAAATTTTTTTTCAAACAATAAATTTTCACTCTTACCCTTAAATACTAAGATAAACTAACATTAATTATATTCATAGAATTGTATAACACAAAAACAAATCATTGAAAAGAAATTCTTAATATATTTAATGTGAGCTCGAAGTTTAGATTTAAGCTTTCGATCATGTTCACATAGTCAACAAGTTTTAACATTAAATGAATTTTTGAATTATTTTATAGTTTTTTTTTTAAGGTTTATTAGATATTTCTTATGAACACTGATTCATTCTATTATATATAGATCAAGGAAAACTGCAATAGAACCATTGGTAGCTGTTTAAAACATATTTATATTGTAAGACAGTAAGAATAGGAATTACGATTACTACAATTAGTTCAAGAATACAAATCTATTTGAGAAAATACTAAAAACAGTCTAAAATCAAACATGAGAAACACGACTTACAGGTATAGGGTGACCTATAAGTAAGGGAACACAGAATTTTTCAATTTTTTCTTTGTATATGGTCAGTTCGATCACATATACTAGATCATATTAGTAAAAGAATTTATCATATGCTCAGTCTTTAGATGAAATAATTTGTTCAAAAGTATACAAATAAATGTTATTGCTTGTCTCATAAGCAGACAAAACTATGGAAATTGAAAAATATCGAATTTCTCTTACAGTCATAGACAAACATTAAGACATATTTCTATACTATATTTTTGACTAGTATCACCTAGTATATATGGTATAAATATGAAGGCTAACTGACTATTTACAAAAGACGATACAAAAAAAATTCTGTATTTCATTACTTTTGAGTCAGCCTGTATAATCACTGTATATATGTGTATGCTAGCGGTTAAATCAGGACATTCTATGTACCGGAAACAAGAAAATCGATTAGCTGGATCAAGACGACATTTAAAATCTACAACTTTATTTACCAAATAAATGTTATGTGTTAGTCGAAACGGAAATCATTGAGTTCGGTCGTCCTTTTCAATTGTAGCTGATAGAGTTCGTTGTCGACTAGTCAAATTTTTTATATATTCATCTTCTATTAAAGTAGATTTGATATTCCGGCTCTATCGAGTCAAGTGACTTAATTAATTTTTGCTGAATCCATCGAACACGATCTTCTAGTTCATAGACATGAACATCTTCATTCTCCGTTGAATTACCAAAGGGTTCGGATATGATAGGACAGCATAAATTATTATCATAGTTCGACATTATTCAATAATAATAAGATGACATCTCTTTGAATAAATATATTGTGTGCTTACAAGGTCACATGCACGCACATTGTTTTTTTCTCTTTTTATGAATGATTGCTTTCTTTCATCTAATATGTATATTTGATTGCATTCTATGATACAATATAATATCAATTAAAATGATTAAAAATGTAACGATCTATTATAATTATAACAATACATTAAACTTTCAACCATCTGTGTTAACTAATTCAATTCAGTGTACTGAGTAATTGTTTCAAACAGCTGATTTTATAATTTATGATACACAATGTAAAAGGAGTGTTGAAGCATAGAAGTAGAAATGTTGACCGCTCCCTCCTTCTGCTACCGACATGACATAGATCTTAGCAAAGAGTCATCTCAGATGTGACATACACGGAAGGAGTGGCTTATCACAAACTGTATATCAATGATGTGCCATTATAGTATATGAGCCACTTCCTGCATTTCAATTAGATGCACATGATCAACTTCATATTGATTTTATTTTTGTACTTAATATATCACAGGAAAAAAATAACAATTTTGTTTAAATATTTGTTCTAAGTTAAACGTATGGCTATTATTTTGCTTAATATACAACAAATAGTTCTTAGTCATTTTTTTTAACATGAGTTCAAATTAAATACAAAGTAAAAGTAAAATAAAAGCAACACCTGATATCAATCAAAGAAATAATATCAAGAAATACATGGATAGTTCCATATAGAATTCTTCAATGTTTTTTGTTATTTTGTCATAATCTCAAATTCTATTATTTATTATTCGAATTAGGTGTAATGTCAACACCGTTCTGTCATGAGAATGATATAATTGTTTAACGAGTATTTTATTCTTTTTCATATGAACTTATTTTAAAACTATTTCAGAACTCACATGGTAGTTTTCTATAAAAGTTTTTGTAGCTTGGACATCAATCGATTATTACCTTCTCTCTACGTATGATGATATGAATCAGAATGATGTGTCATATATTGTGTTAATTTCCAATGAAAAATAATCATCATGACATTTGTACTTGTCGTTGTTGTCTTCTACTCTTTCGCTAATGTGATATTAGTTATTGAAGTAGTTAATTTGAAATAGAACTAATAAGCAGATAATTTATCGAATATATATCATTCAGCTTCTTATTTTCAAGGATTTTATATATTATCAACATGACATTGCAAATAATAAAAGCAATAAAATTACTCTTCTAAATTTTTATCTTCTTCGACAATGTTCATATTATTATTATTAATAACCTAATAATTTGTTCAAGAGTTTGTTATTTGCTTCAAACTCAAAGAACCAATAGAACTCAATTTACACTATGAAAAACAACTGCTGCTCCTTCAAACTCAAATATTTATCAATTATTTAGGAATTCTATTCAACCAAATCAACTTCTTCTAGTCCATGAACGTGTCATTGTAAATACAATAAAATCTTCAAATATTCTTCAAATTCTTACACAAAAAAATAATAGATAATAGTGCTTCAACTGGTACATTATTATTATTAATCATATATAGGAGCATTTTTAACATTGACATGAAACACGTATTCTTCATTTTTATTCCATTATCAAGACAAGATTGAAACGATGAACCACATATAGTTTAGAAATAGTCTTATAAAATAAAATAAGAATACTTAAGCGAAACTAGACAGATACACTTAAGACAAGGAAAAAAATATCAAACACACTTTTCTATATCAATCAATGAATTTTTATCTATGTTGTCATAAGATGAAATACAATTTCCATCCTCATTAAAATAAAATGTACCGTCTATTTGTACTGCTAATGATAGCAATACAAATCTTACTGTCTTCATTTGTTGCATGATAGATGGGTTGTTAGTATACTTGCTAAGTATTGTAATTAATATTAGCAATATGCCTGCAAGAGTTTATCAAATTACCTGTTTCAGTCTAAAAAATAACGAGATGCCATGTGATAGGAACAACGACAAAGAGCAAGACGTTTGCTTTTGTTGAAACATATGTCTGATCTAATATTGAGTTGTTTTGTGATGAAAAACAAGTAGTCTTGTTTTGCATAACATTTTTGTATTACTATAAGTGTATGGATGTTAGTGTGAGTGATGCTATTAGCCATCTGAACACCTCATAAATGGTTATGTATACATTAATTGGAAGAAAAATTATGAAAGAAATGAAAGTCACGCCATTTTTCAAGAAGTTTTCGCAAGAGAAAAAAATGAAGTTGGAAAAACCTTGACTTAATCACATGTTTTACTTTTTCTCTTTCTCTATTCCTAAGAGTCCTTTGACTTTTTTCTTTTGATTTGTTTCTCTTACTCCTTCTATAAAAACATAATCTTTACTCATTTATATTTGGCTTGTATTGCAGTGACCCAAGAGTGTTGGAGAAAATGGAGATAAGAGCAAAAAATGAAAGACGAAAATGATGTGTAAGGCATGCTAGAAAAAAAGAGACCACTTGAACATTGCTACGCACTTCTTTTTGTCATTTATGCTGTTAATGCTGGAAACTTCCAACAATAATTATTCACTGATTACTTTGCTTATTTCATATCTGTAAATCTAAAGTAAATCATGCACTTCCTCTGAAAAACAAACGAATTTACGACGAATAGAATAAATGACGAAACAGTATGCATCGAATACAATGGTTTTCTATTGGACAATATGAAAACGCAACGCATTGTACAATTATTGCTTAATCGAGTCATATATAACCAGAACACATTTGAATCTTTTTTAGGCAGTGTTAGCAAGATGATTGATCGATGCGGATCCTTGAAATCGATACAAAAAATGAATTCCCTATTATTTGTAGATAGATTACTAGAGCGAATGTGTATATGGATGCAGATGTTTCTGGATGTAGATGTGAATGTGGGGTACGCGTGTTGGGTATACGTGTCAATGGTTATCTCACTTGCCTCACTGCACATTTGTCGACAGTCACCCACAGAACTGAAACAGTTCCATATCAGTTAACTTCTTATGAACTGGAACTGTTACAGTCCTACTCACTCACATCTACGTCCACATCCATACATCCTAGAAGGTTGTTCAAAATATTCGTTTCAATAAATTTAATCGGTTTTGTAGAAGACACCATGACTTCTTTAAGAGAAGACAGATTTTTCTATCTAATACCCGGTGTTACTGATCAGCAATTTCGCAACACTCAATTCTTAAAATGTTATAATCAAGTGGAAAGATATCCAAGTAAGAGTATGGTAATTAGTTCTCTTATTGGCCTCTGTGGAGTAAATGATCGCGATCATCCCGCACTGCAATCAATCGCCTTTGAACCAAAAGATCATGATGCGATCAAAACATATAGTTCTGATCTTATATTTGGCTCAAAAAAATTCTACGCATATGTCAACAAGCAATTAATGCAAGATGATGCATGGCCATTGAACAAACTCATGCCATTTATTCGTAGAACTACTAGTCAAATTAACAATCATGGTCCATCTCAGGATTGCGTTGCATATCGCGGTATGTATCTTAGCTATGAACAACGTCATTTTTTCACGGTAAACAAAGTATTTCGGTTTCCCGGTTTTACTTCAACAACCAGAAAAAAGCAAGTAGCAAGAGTTGTAGGCAATACTTTGTTCGAAATTCACATTTCTGCTGGTTGTCATCAAGTGAGAGACACATCACAGTTTTCTCACTTTAAGCATGAAGATGAATTATTATTTTCTCCTTACTCGCGTTTCAGAGTTGTAAAAATAAATGTTGAAATAATCACTTTACATGCACTAGAAAATTTATGGGAAAGTAAAAGTGATGGCGATTATAATCATGCAAGTGGTCATTTAGGGATTGGTTTTAATGACATTCATTTAAACCACCACTTGGGAAATGGTTCGGGTAACAGTTATTCCATTAAATGTCAGTCACCTTGCCATTCTATTAGCAAACCACCGCCAATTCCCAGCATAAAAAGTAAACAAAATCTTTCTAAAACTAGTGCTTATAAGTCTAATATAACAAATAATACGACATCATATTCAAACACCGTTTCCAAGTATCATTCAACAAAAACTAAGAGCATTAATACACTAAGTGCCTCTACACTTCATAAAACAAGCAGTGCGACATTATATCCAAAAAACGTTTCCAAACATTATCCAGCAAGCACTAGTAATCTTCATAAAACAAGTAGTGGCACATCTCATCCAAAAACTGTTTTCAAATATCATTCAACAAGTAATATGAGTCTTCCTGCATCAAGTGTCTGGAATCCTAAGAAAACTGTCAGTACAACATCTTATCCAAAAACTGTTTCCAAATATCATTCAACAAGTAATGTGAGTCTCCATACGTCAAGTGTCTGGAATCCTAAGAAAACTGTCAGTACAACATCTTATCCAAAAACTGTTTCCAAATATAATTCAACAAGTAATGTGAGTCTTCATACATCAAGTGCAGGGAATCGTCGTAAAACAAGTTGTGCGACATCTTATCCTACAGCCGTTCCCAAATATCATTCAAAAAGTGTTGCAAGCCTGTCTACATCAGATGCTGAGAGTCTTCCTTCATCAAATACTAAAAATATTCATACATCAAATGTAAGGAATCTACATAAAATAAGTTGTGCCACATCTTATCCAAAAACTGTTTCGAAATGCCATGAAACAAGTACTGACAATCTTCCTATACCAAATGTTTGGAATTCTAATGAAATTATTAGTGCAACATCGTACCCGCAGATCGATTCCAATGATCATGCAACAAGTACTGAGAGTCTTCCTGCATCAGATAATAATAGTCTTCCTACATCAAGTACGGAGGGACTTCCTACATCAAGTGTCTGGAATCCAAAGAAAACTGTCAGTGCCACATCTTATTTAAGAACCGTTTCCAAATATCATCGAACAAGTACTGAAAATCTTCCTACATCAAGTATCTGGAATTCTGATACAACAAGTAGCTTGTCATTATATCCAACAGTCGTTTCCAAATATCATTCAAAAAGTGCTGCTAGCCTGTCTACATCAGATGCTGAGAGTCTTTCTTCATCAAATACTAAGAATATTCATACATCAAGTGCATGGAATCTTCATAAAATAAGTTGTGCCGCATCTTATCCAAAAACTGTTTCGAAATACCATGAAACAAGTACTGACAATCTTCCTATACCAAATGTTTGGAATCCTAATGAAATTGTTAGTGCAACATCGTATCCGCAGGTTTTTTCCAATGATTATGCAACAAGTACAGGTGGTACAGCAGATACTCTAAATCTCAAGCAAACAAGTACTGAAATATCTGATGTAAAAAGAAATTCGAAATCTTGTACAACTGCGACTCCGATGCTTTCTGCAGAAAGTTGTTCGAGGAACATCGAGCAAACTCCCTCAACTTTAATTAAGAAGAAGAAGAAGAAGCAGAAACGCTTCTCATGTGTAATACTTTAATACAGAGTTTCAATTTTTCACAATAAGTATCACGAAGAATTTTTCTTTTTTTTATCTTTAACTACATATTAAAGTATAAGCATTCTTAATGTTTTATGCAACAGTAATGCGCTTCCCAGGTGAAAGATATGAGTATGGAGTAGATGCGGGTGTAAAGTATGGATGGATGTGGTGGGGCAAAGGTACCTATAAAAAAAAAGTATCTTCCGTCTTAATGAGTACTAGATCGATTGATAACCCGGACATTGCTCTTTCGAATGGTGACAACCGCAACCTGCTATTTCGTTCCTATCAAGGGTTATTTGAAAAATGGTAGCTTCCGCTTTTATTTTGTATTAGACAATAGTTAAGTTGTAATAGAACCAACAAGCAAATAATCTATCGAATATATATCATTCAGCTTCTGATTCTCAAGAATTTGTATATCATCAATATGATATTGTAAATAATAAAAGCAATCAAACTACTCTTCTAAATTTTTATCTTCTTCGACAATGTTCATATTATTATCAATAACCTAGTAATTTGTTTAAGAGTTTGTCATTTGCTTCAAACTTGAAGCAACAATGGAACTCAATCTACAGTATGAACAAAAACTAATGTTCCTTCAAACCCAAATATTTTTAAGACAAATAGAAAATATCGAACACACTTTTGCATACCAGTCAATGACCTTCTGCCTACGTTGTAATAAGACCAAGTACATTTCCATCCTCATTAAAATAAAATGTACCGTATATGTCTTGTTAGTCTATTTGCTCAATATTATAATTCTTTTGAATAAATACTTATTGTTGAATCTCTTGGTAAGGTATAATCTAAACAACTAATTTTGTTTAAACTACTACCTACCTTTGGATCTATTTGTTGAGATAATCTAAACAGTTTTTTTTAGAATGTATACTTACTTATCAAATTGCTGTTGGATTGAAAACTCAAACTGACGAATATGGAGTCCGCATACAACCGTGTACGTTCCATATTTTGTCGCATTATATAGTAAATTTTTACTGACGTAACGTATATCACTATGAAGATATCCAATACCAGACAAAAACTATGAACGACTTTCGTGTATACCTACAGTAGACGAGCATTTCTTTTATCTTCATCAATCATCGTATTTCTCCATATAGAAACGCTAACAACCGTGCTTATTTGACTTAGGAAAATAAAACTAACTAACAATAAAATACAATCATATACAGTTGTCTCGTATGAGAACGGTTTTCTATCATTGCCTAAGTTACTTGCATATGAACGTATGACATTGTTCACATTCATTGTACAGAGATCGTCACATTTCATTGTCTACGACGGCTAACGATAATGCTCTGTCAATCTAAATATAGTTTTTCTTTATTTAATGAATATCTTTGAATTAGAAGACATTTGGAAAATATTTCGAGGCATATTAACCTACTTTATTATTCGTTTCTCTAAAGAGAAAAAGTCGACTTTTACGTATTATTTCGTTCTCAAGTGGTTTGTTGTTCTGTTTCTATTTCACTATAGTAATTTAAATAAAAACATCATTAATATTCATGGCTTGAATAGCTCGATGAAGTATAGAACAAAAATAACATAACAAACAAAGTTTCTCCCATCACAAAATATTTCTCGTTCCATCATTTCAAAATATTTCTATTTTAAAATATGTTTTCTATTACTCATTCCATTATTACTTAATTTATTAATAATCCTGAAATTCAACAGAATTTCTTAATGTTGAATAAATAGGACGTTCTTTTTATTGATAGAGAAGATATTTAACTTGAGAATTCTTTTGTCTACGTTGAAAACTGCATAGATGTCTCTGAATATTGTGAACATTTTACAGGTAGTCGCTAAGCAAATAAAGTCGAATGAATAGGTAGAAAAATGGTAACTGAATATTTTGTTTACATATTGTAACAGTTTTGTCTCTCTTCTGAAAATGTACGTAAATAGGTTTTAGTTCGAAGTTTTCTTTTGCTAACAAAAAATAACCATATACTAATTTTTTATTTAACAGAGATGCTGAATGTCTCTTGTTTTTTTATTATTGAGAAAGAAGAAAGAATCCATACAATTTATAATCTTCTTGTATAGAATATTAAAGAAAAACAAAAATTTTTGTTTTGGGAAAGAAGATAATAATGAATTTCAAGTTCGACAATGATTGAAGTCTTCGTTTTAAGGTCATACTGTTGTTTGTCTATCATAGTATTAAATGAAATGAGTGATAAATCTATTTAATTCTTTTTTTGCAATATAAAAAACAAAGAATTGATTAGTTTATAATCTTCAAGACATAAGAATAGAAATTGTTTATTATTTTTTCCTCCGTTGTATTTGAATTTTTATTGTTCGGTACTTGAATAAATGCATAAATAGAGAATTGACGATCGTCATTAGAGTAGAAAAAAAGACCGCTGTTATTTTAACTGCAAGAACAAATTAAATTCTTTCAACGTTTTCTTTTCTTGCTTTATGTGAATTGTTTTCTATTTGAAGATTTTTTTCCAACACAATGACTCTCGGTATCGATCATTATATATTTTTTGTTCAAACTTAAATAAACATTAGCCTTCCTGAACCACAAATTTCATTTTGTTGTTTAAGTTAAAAATGCCTGTAGCAGTACGACGAAAAAAAAATAGTTCAAGCGAATCGAGTAATGGTTCATCAGCATCGTCATCAGATGATGAAGATATTTCATTATCAAAATTCTCAAGATCAACAACAAATAAAACCAATGAATTAACACTTAAAGATGATGAAGATACAATGGGTTTTCAAGCACCATTACCTGAATATGAAGGTAAAATATTTTCTTTATTTAGTAAAAATTAATATCATGTTGTGTTTTGTTTTTTACAGAAGAACAAGGGGAGTCAGATGATGATCGAAGAACTTTATCGAGAGTCATAGAATCATCAGCATCAGGAATAATTGGAAACGATAAAAAACGACAATTAGAAAAGAAAAAACGAAAAAGGTTTTTTCTTTTTTTTTTTGTTATTTAATATTTAATTGAATATGTTTTTTTCTTTTTTCTTTTAACATTTTCTCTAGAATGTATTTTATTTGTGTATCTATGTGCAAATATGAATGTGTACGACGAGCAGCAAAACGACTTCATTTTCGTGAAGTTTCTGATGAAGAAGATTGGAATGTTTATTGGACTGATACAAGTGTTGGAATTGAAAGAGTTGCACAAATGAAAAAATGGCAGGTTAGAAATAATTTTTTTTTTAAGAAAATATTTTCTTATGTGATTATATTGATAGAAAATAAATCATTTTCCTGGTATGAGTGAAATATGTCGAAAAGATTCCTTAACAAGAAACATGTCAAGGATGGTTAAAATGTTTCCAAAAGAATATGCGTTTTATCCAAAAGCATGGTGTCTTCCAGCTGAGTATGGCATTTATTTAATTGAATATATATATATATATATTTTGATTGATTTTTATTTAAATAGTTATTGTGATTTTGCTAAATATTGTGCAGAGAAAAAGTGTAAAACATTTATTTCTAAACCTGATGTTGGTTGTCAAGGTCGAGGAATATTTTTAACAAAAAATCCTTCGAGAGATATTAAACCGTAAGAAAAATAATTGGAAAAATTTATTAATTACTATTATTATTATTATTTAGAAGTGATAATTTTGTTGTTCAAGTATATGTTAATCGAGTATGTATTAAAGAATTCTTTTTAATATAAACAGAATTAAAAAAGAAATTTCCAGTTGAATAAATATAAATTTATCCTTTTCAGTTCAGAATTGTTATAATTTAAATGAAGTAGATTAATTTTAAGGTAAAAATGTCAAATGATTATCGATGATTTAAATGTTTATATATCTTGATCAAAGAGAAATTAGATATATACGAGGATGTAACAGCAAAGATTTCAGTCGTGAAGTCTGTTGTTTCTTCTTCGAGTATACATTTTATCTTGAGCTTTTCTGATTATGAAATATTTTCTTGAATGGCTTATAACAAAAACAATGTGCCGAGCTTTTGAATATGCTATAGAATCAATGTTTTCTATTAATAATTTGGGTTTAAAAATAATTAGCTAAAGCTATGGCTATTTATCTGATACAGTTTGCCATAAATCTAGAAATCACTTTTTTTGAAAAGAAGAGTATTTCTGATGAAGAAATCTCTTCAAATAACAATCCTATTAGTGCAATCCTTGTGGCGTTACAATGCATATTGAAAACTCCAACTAAAACGAATATTTTATTTTTGAAATATCGTATTGTCAGCGAGTACACATATTTTAGAAAAGATTTTAAAAAATTCGTCTGAACTAAAACTTTCGGTATAGGATAAGGATACAAAAGGTCTATTGATGAAAAGAATTTCAGGTTGAAGTGACGACATTGATTTTTTTTTTGTGACATATTCTGCACTAAACAAACACTTCAGCATGATGATCATACCTGAAAAAGAGAGCAATAAAGGCACGAATCATTATAAGTCTTGTCTAGTCTCAATAGATTCTACTAAATGACACAGGGCTCATTTTAGAAGTGTTTTTTTATGGTCTGGAGAGGTTCTTTCATGAGGTTCAATGGATCATAATATGGCAATAATGCAAAGATGATAGAAATTTATTCTTAATTCGCTGCGCACAATATTTTCCGCTATTCTCTGGACTGCTAATAAACAACAGCTAGATTGCTCATACTCAGCTTTGCTTCTATCTGAAGATATTCTTCGGGGCGTGATTCACTTTGTCATCCATTTGGTTAGTCTTTTTTTAAATTTACTTTCCATTACAATAGAGATCATTCAGCTTAACATTATTTCTAGCCTTCTAAAAATATCTTAGTTTTCTGAAAAATCTTTTATAGTAATAGCTTTGATAGTAGACGAATCAAAAAAGAAAACTTGATCTGAAACATTTCATGTATGGACATGATAGAAGACGTGAAGTGAAGATTAATTTGAATGGTAAGATGAAACAGTCTTTTTGTATACTTTCTAAAGCTGATATCTATGATATTAAAAGTTAATACAACAAAAGGCTACTTTATTTATAGACAATATTGTCAAAAACAACTCATTCAATACAAGTTTCTCGATATTCGATCTAAGATCATTTGAAAAACATATTTCTTAGTTCAAAAATTCAATTCCATTGCTTAATTTTTCTTCTATATGCTAGTTGAAGAACATTTTTTTTACAGAAGTTTTTAAACAGCAAGTCAAAAATAATTTTTTCTTTTTAGCCATTTTTAGTTGATGGGTATAAATTTGATCTTCGTGTATATGTTGCTGTAACAGCCTGTGATCCATTTCGAGTCTTTGTTTATAAAGATGGTCTAGCCCGTTTTACAACTCAACATTATGAAGAACCATCAAATACAAATTGTGTATGTTAAATCAATTTGCAAAAATAAAAACCAAAAGAATATTTTCATCATTTTATTTTTCTCTCTTTTAGAAAGATATTTTTATGCATTTAACAAATTATGCTATTCAAAAACGTTCCGATGATTTTATTCGTGATGAAGATACTGGTACTAAACGGTAATTCAAAAAAAACATAAAACAACAAAAATTTCAAATCGAAATATAATTCTTCTAGTCGTATAACAACAATTAATCGTTGGTTGATTGAACATGGTTATGATATAGTCAAACTATGGGCAGAGATTGATGATGTTATTATAAAAGTTCTCATATCAGCTCATCCTATTCTTAAACATAATTATCGTGCTTGTTTTCCTAATCACTATCGTGGCAGTGCTTGTTTTGAAATTCTTGGCTTTGATATATTACTGGATAAAAAACTTAAACCATATGTTCTCGAAGTATGAATGCAAAAGGATCTTGTCTGGTTTTGTGACCTATCTCGAACCAAGTAAACCTATGTTTGATGTTGAAAAGAAGATCGTAGCGCAACAAATGATACATACGAAGTCAAGTTGTCCTCGAATTTTGAAATGCTTGAGGGGTATTATATGATACTCACAGACTAAATGGTCCCTAGAATGTTCTAAGATAATATAATGTAGCTTCCTTCTCAAACTCACTTCAATAGAATTCAAGTTACTGTTCAATTCACCCACACTCACACCCTCATCTATAAATATCTCCTATTCATTTAGAAAATCAAATTTTTCCATATTGCCTTATCTCCTCCTCGAGGTCTAAAGATCAAAAACTTGTTTTTGTTTTTAAAAAAGTTATTTATACCAATTAATCAAGGATCCTGTCCTGATTCCTTGTAACTGAAAACTTTTCTGAAACACGATCTAATAATAATATTGAAGTGCGTAGGGTAGAAATTCAGACCCACTCTCTCACAGACTATGCCAGGCGTTGTTGATATACTAGCGAACACCGTATATAAATAACGTGTCGTTCTAGTATATGAACTACTTCCTTATTACATTGCCGGATGATTAAGTGAAAAGATGGTTAAGAGTTGTGTCCAAAATTACGTAGAATAAAGCATCTCTCTAGTATGAACGAGAGTAGCTACATCGTATTTTAAATCTACAAGTATTGCGCTAACAACTTTTGTCGGAAACGTTCAGTATTCTTGAAATATCACCAATATACCATCCACTTTGAATACAAAGATAGATCTTTTCAAGGAATCATTTTGATATCTGACAACAAGTACCTACTCAATATGAAAAAGTTAACTGTGAAACATATTGAGTTTGACGATATGCAATCTGTGAGAATGTTTCACCGTAGTACACTCTTATTATGCAGCATAGATTTAACCAGTTCGGAATGCCTTCTAATCAAAATTAGCCTAGATCTATTGAAACATGGCAATTTTTAAGTATGAAGCAAACAATGATGAAAACTATTGAATAGCAGAAATTGAATAACTATTCGAAGTCTATTGAAATAAACTTAAAAAATAAATTGCAAAATTTTATCTGAAAACATTCTATAGATCATTATATCTGTGAGTGTTCTATAATATCCTCAAGCAGATTGAAGTTTGAAAATAACTCGACGTTGTATATATGATTCGATGGATCAAAACTTCCTCTATCAAAACTGAGTTCGAGATGGGTCATAAAATTCAACAAGGTCTTCTCAAAAAGAAATAATAAATTTAATTTGATTCGCTTTGTTCTAAGGTAAATCATTCTCCAAGTTTTACAACAGACTCAAAATTAGATCGTGAAATAAAAGATGCACTTATATATGATACTCTACTTTTATTAAATATGCCTGCGGCTGATAAACGACGATTTCTTGAAGAAGAAAAAAAACGTGTTAAAGACAGACTTTTTCAACGAACAAATAAAAAAGATAATAAATATCGTGAAGAACAAGAAGATCTTGCTCAACAATGGCAAAAAGAAATTGAAAAATGGGAAGATGATCATATAGGAAATTACCGAAGAATTTATCCAACACCTGAAACAATAGTAAAATATCAAAAATTTTTTACACAATCAGGTACACTTTATTCAGAAACAGCAGCTTCAAAAGCAAGAATTGAACAAGCAAAGTATTTTTTATCATTAGTTTAGTTTTTCTTTTATAAAGAAAAATTTATTCGTTTCAGAGCACAAATGGATGAATTACAAAAAAAACAAGATAAATTAAATTCATTTAAAAATAGTAAATTAACTTCAAATATAGTTGCAAATGTTTCAAAAGAAATGTTTGGTGAAAGTTCAACAAAAAGATCATTACCTATAATTAAATCATCTAGAAGTTCATCATTTCATCGAACACCTTTAAAACGTCTTACAACTGTAGTAAATTTTTTTTCTTCATTATAATCTTAAATGAATATGTTTTTTTCTTTTCATTAATTTAGACTGTTAACATTGCAACTCCACCAACTCAATCGTTTGGTGATTCAACAAAACCTATTGATATTGAGGAAACTGAAGAATTAGAACGAATGTTATCACTTAAACATCGAGAAACACTTATTCGAGGAATGGGTAAAAGAAAAATATTTTTCGAATAATAAATTATTCAGTATTTTTAAATAAATAAAAAAAAGGTATTGTTGATATGTGTCATCGAATGTTATTTGGTACACCAGGTACAATGGCTAATTTACAATTGAAAAGTAATGGAATTGGGCCATTACATGGACAACATCAGAGTACGGTTAGTACAGATTTTCTGTTATAATAGATAGCCAACAATATTACTGTTAGTGCAGTTCCTATTGGATTAAAATGCGAAACATGGTGGAACTACTCTTGCCAGCCATAGTAGATTTTTCTTCAGACTTGGATATCTTAACTTGGGAAATAAATTTCATGCTGTTGGACCCTTCATTCGACAGTTCAATGCTGATTCTATTACTACTAAAAACTCTATGTCAAACAGTTTTAGCTTGTATGACTCCAGCTAATTTTAACAATTTCCTTTGAAATTGTCTCCAGTGAACACCCTACTTCAATCAAGTTTTCCTTGAAAATTTTACGATTGCAGCTACAAATTGACAAGAGATGCATGTTGAGATAATCCCAAACAATGATGACTTCTTCATGCCTCAAGACTACAGCAGACTGGAGTGTCCTATCTGTGGCACAATATAGACTTGCCAACTTTTATGTGATGATAGGAAAATGAAGGCTAACGCATTTAAATAGTAGAAAACAAGAAAAGTCTGTTTTGAGCCTTAAAGAAAAAAACGAATGTTTTCATCGTAATTCCTTTGCATTAAGCTTGTTGACCTCAGATTGCTACATACTATCAGAGTTTACTGAACTCTATCAGTAGTCAAAATGTCAGGCAAAAGGATTGAAGTTTGTGTACTTTTTACTCAATAGCAGAACTTCTTGCAAACACTGTACTAAACAATTCTCACAAATATAAATCTTTTTGAGAACGAAATCAACCCTTCAAAGAATAGAAAATCAAGATGCGTATACTTTTCCTTCTGCGTAAGAGATAGTATTAAATGAATGAGATAGTTTTTAGAACTTTTAGATTATTCCTGTTGTCTATAATTGTTTCGTATAATCTTAGAACACTCGTGTAAATTCTGTTTAAGTACACTTTTCAGCATTAAGAAAGGTTCTCTAGAATAGAATAGCCACAAAACAATTCGAACTCATAGCTCTTTTCCACAACGGTATAACAGCTTTTTTAAAATTTTTACCATCGTAACAGATATTAACACGAAGGCGCAAATTGTTTTGTTTAAAAGTCGATTTTATGATTGTTCTATTCTTGAAATATTCCATGTTCAGCAAATCGATTTTATGTCTGAAACAGTCAAATAATCATGAGACCTACTTATAGACAAAGATTCAGGTCACAAATACTTTGTTTAATTTTCTTGATTAATATTTTATCTTTTATTAAAGATCTATCACAGCTATCGTTACTCTGTAGAGCAGACTTATGTTCTCGAATTCTTCTATGAAGATTTTAATCTAAATTTTCTCGTACTATCTTCGAAATATGAACTCAAAAAGTGATGAATCGTATTCGAATCATCCTTTCTTATTCCATCAATCTAACTTCCGAATAATTTCTGAACGCAATTGGTATGTGGAGCAATTGTTGCGAGTAGAATTTTATGATAGACTTGCTTTTCTTTTTTGTACAGAACTAAACTTTTTTGATCATATCTGTATGATAAACAATGTTTTCTTTTATTTCTAGACTCAAATTGATGTAAATGATCTATCACAAAATTTGTCTCTTCTTCAATATGTTGGTTCAAAACTTCCTAATGCTCATTTAAGTCGACATCATACAAATAATACAACATCAGCTCAAGCACTTCAACAATATTTTAGCAATCAACAACATCAATTACAACCAAAATATGAAGTTCGTGCAACACGAAATGTACATATATTTGATGAAAAACTTGGCAATGTTTGTTTAACATAAAAAAAAGAAAAATATTTTAATTTTTTTTCTCATCAATACATTTTTATTTTCATATAGATAAATCCATCTCAAAATGGATCACGAAATGGTCGTTATCAACAAACAATACGTTCACCAGATCCATCAAATCGTTTTTTTGTTCAAACAAATATAATGCCACAAATAGCAGCTAATATTTTACCTAATCCAAATATTGCTACAACAAATTCATCACTTGATTTATCAATAAGAACTAAAAGTGCAACTGGAATGGCACGACAACGTACAGGTCTGTTAAGTTAAAATCGACCTACAACACATACTTATCTTCACCTATACACCTTTTCTACTTCTTCTTATTTTTTATTTATTACACACACATAAATCAAAATCGATTCTACAAAACCGGTAAGTTAAGTCAATCGTATACTTATGAAGAAATAACTATCCGAAATGACACACTAATTTTGAGAATAGTGCAAGAACTTTTAATCTAATATAGAGAAATAATAAATCAAAATATAAAGGATTAATAAAACGAATACTGACGTAATCCCAATTCATGATATATTTCTTCATTTGATTCTCAGAAATTAACAAGTACAAATGAATTAGAATTTTGCTAAAAAGTTACTTATTCGAAAGACTTCTACATAGACATTCCAAGCGTAATTAACTCAATGTTTTGTATGATACTTTGTAACTTTTCTTCGTATTAGTTTTTGCATGAAATATACATATATATTCTAAATAAACAGCACAAAAAAAAGAAGAAGAAGAATTTATTTACATCAGAAATTATCATTACTATTTTCTATAGGCGATTTTTATTTGATCTCATATGATTCTAATGTTATTAATGATTGTCTTTCAAAAAACAAGATAACTATAAATGGATCATCAATGTCAGTTGGTAATCGATTTAAATCTTTTTATGATCTTCCAGTATTTCAACCAATTCGACGATTTAGTTTAAATGAAACTTGAAAATAATGAAGTTATTTCTTTAGTATTAATATCAAAATGAGATCGAAAAAGAAGTTTTTTGTTTTGTTTTGCAAGAGTGTGCTACACCCGGTTTTGGTGATTTGTTTGTTTGTTTTTTTTATTTTAGTTTATTTTTATTCTCACATATTTATGTTCAAGGTGTGCCTTGTAGATAGATGAAGGTTTGCTTTTTCCTATGCTTGTATACGCAAGTTTTCTTTTGTGAATGTGTGTGTATATGCAAAATGACATCTGCTTTTTCGAGTATTTAAATTATTTCAAGAATATTTTTTGTTATCGAATTTTAAGAAAAATACACATATGTTCAACGAATAATTATTAACGAATAAACAAATATGTTTTTTTTTTCTAAAGTTTCTAGTTGTAGTCTTAAGAATTTATTAACATTCAATATTACTTACAATGATGGAGGTTAGAGTATCGAATAGACTACTTCTTATTTCTTTCTATCATGAAAGAAACTAATTGTTATCAATATTTCTTATACAAAAAAAAAAATAAAAAAACTTAAATTATCGAATTCTTTTTTAATCCGATTATCATTTATTGTGATTAAAGAAAAATATGAAAAAAATTTTGTCGTTCAACTTAGTAATAGCATTTGTTGATTTTTATTTTCGTTTAAATAAACAAATAATGATTATTATCTTTTTTACTTCATTTGTTCGTTCTTTTATTACAAAAAGCGATCTAGTTATTATAAACGATGAAAGCTGGAGAACAAAATCATCAATTTCCGACATCATCTTGTGTTTGATGTTTAGTATCAAGATTATTGATACTACATCAAACTAGTAGCGGCGCCAGAATTTTTTGTCAGGGTGGGCTCAGCCCATCCCTGGTGCCGCCACTACATCAAACACAAGCCAACAATTTCAACCTGATCAATAAACAGCTCTGTTAGAGAGGTTTATTGCATAATCCTAATGTTTGCAAATACAAATATCGATATTTATATATATACATGTCTGATGCAATCATCGTTTATTTACCTTTATGAAATATCTATCATTCAACAACAAATAAGAGTATTGTCTCAAAAAATTCTGTGAATGATACACATTGTATATTTGTGTCAGCACGATTAACTAAAGTCATTTTGCTACATTGCAACGCTGATTCAATTATTTCGCCGCATCTCTCAATAAATACATGTTACACTTCTTTGTTCGATTGTTTTTTCACGATTGAAACAGAAGATAGAATATTCATGTACAAGTAATTAAGAGTGTGATACTTCGATGAATTCCTCATTAGCATAATCTATTATGTTGAAAACCAAGCGGAAAAATATGACAATGCGACAAAGGTACTCATATATTCCTACTATTGTCGACGTAGGTGGAATTGCCCACACAGTGCATTTAGATAATCGATAATGTTAATCAACATGGAAAAATATCCTTCGAGTTGGTCCCAAAAGTGTTTGATAAACCAAAGTCAGATCTTGATGTGATTATGAATAACATTGTATTGACTAGACTTGTCTCAGAAAAATTTCGAACCCAACAAAGTTTTTTCAAACTATTATTTCCTGCGGAAGAAACACTTTTTAATCTCCCAGAATTCTCGAATATTCTACATTGATCTATTATTATTAGCTACAAATAGAAAAAAAAACATTTTAATCAATTTAGATCTTTATTTAATTTTTTTTTCTTTTCTTTTGTTTATCTGACAACGAATGTTTTCTTTTATTTGTCTTTATCATACATTGATTTGGTAAATGACATACATTGCATGTATTACAATGTATTCTTTCAGCTTTAACACATCGTTGACATAATGAACAGTGTTTATATGGTAAACCATCTTTTGATGTACATGATTGACATTGAAAACAATGTTGATTTGTTAATAATGTATAACGATTACATTCGAAACAATATTTATAATTAATATCATCTAATGGTGGAAATTTTGATCGACATATATCAGTAAACATACGAACAGGTGAACCTTTTTTTCCACGACATAAATTTAATGATGATATTGATGTATATTCAATTTTATGATCAAGCATTTTTAAATTTGGAAATGCATCAATAATCCATTTTTCAAGAAAATATGGATTAAAAAGTATTAAATGTCGATTAATTTCATATGATTGAAATAATTTATCAATTGAATATGATAATGCACGATGAAAACCACCAAATGGTGGATCAATAATAATTAAACAATTTTTAATTATTGAAAGAAATTTTTCTTGAAAATATTTTGCATTTGAAAATATATGTCCATTAAACATATTATAAATAAGCATTTGTTTAGATGAATAAAATGAACAAAGACGAAAATCATAATCAAGTAAATATGAATTCAATTTTTTTTTCGAACTAAAACGATGAAGATTTTCGAAAATAGTTGGACAACCAACACAAATAATACTATCCCAAGAATTTTTTAAAATAATTTCATTAATTATATAGTCAATAAATGTTTGTGAAAAGAAAAATTGTGCATTACTACGTTTATTTTCAAGTGGTTGAAGAATGTAATGACATGGTTGTCGTAATTGTTGACGATTAAGAGATTCCGTATATTCATGATCTTTATGATCAGATTGTTCGTTTTCGGAAAATAATGACGAACAAGTATAACAATAATAACTAAAGAAATAAAAGAAAAATATTGTAGAATTATCCTAATTTTTGTCAAAATAGTATTCTAAAAAGTAAATGAAAGTAAATCATTGTTAACAATAAGAATATGTAACTTCAGTTTAGTGATGATTGGCGTTACCGATCCACGAGGGAAGAATTTCAACTGACTAATTGCTTTTTCATTCAAATTTAGTTTGTTGTCTATGTCGATTCCGAATATGACTATGAGAAATCTCTTTTCGTCTTTAGATGTTAATTTATCTAGAAAATTGACATCGAAAGACCTAGGAGACTTCTTTTAGTTATGTTCAGAATTATCATAATCGATAACTCACCATTTCCTGGCTTTTGATGAAAAAGCGATTGACTAGTTGAAAAACACCTTTTGGATGCACTCGATAATAAAGCTTTTCGTTTAATAACTATTGTAGTGTTTTTAGGAATGAATAAATCATGAAAGAAAATTCTTAAGTGACCAGTAGTGATTTTGTAACTCATAATTAGATCGCGACAATACTAGTAGAGATTTGAAAGGGCAATGAGTCCTTGAGCTCTCTCTCTCTGAAGCTTCAGCATCTGAACAAGATATTAACGGTGACGTCTGTTCAATGAAATTCAAATCTTAAATTTTGTTCGTAAATAATTCTAATGACTTTATAAAATTTTGACCAATATGAATACTTCGTCCTAAAGCTATTATATTTTTCAAATTCTACGCATATTTCATCAAATCAAGAAAATCACACATTATATGAGAAGGATTTTGGAAATAGAAAATTCTCATTAGACTTCTGACAGTTGCCAAAAGTTTATTTCGGCAGTTAGTAGTACGGCGAAATTCATGTTACCGCAAGGCTAGACATTTTTTTATATTTCTCATAAATCATTATAAAATTCCACTTAAGTAATGCTTCAATCTACTTCAGGTAAAAAAGTTCTAACAGGCGACAGTCCTTTTCCAAGGATAATCAACCAATCGAAAAAACTTTTTGTCTTATTTATCTCTGCTTTGCGAACAAAATGTTTTTAATTGCTGCTCTGCTTTTATTGGTCGTGTTGCTATTTGCTCGCTATTTCATTTATACCTACAGTAGATCTCAATGCATTATTATGTATCACGATGAACTCACAAACTTCGCTATTTAGAACATTCAAATACGTAGTCCAACAGTATGAGCGTCAAAGAAAGGCTAAGCTTCTTTGTTAATGTCATTCAGCGTCTGTTTTTCGTTACCAAAGGAACTATAGAAAAGGAGTCCGGTACTTATTGATTTCGGTTACTATAGTGTGCCAGAAAGAAGCTGACTGGAGTCGCGACTTCTTCACTTAAAACTTACAGTCACTATTTTTTTTCGAAAATATATGTAAGTTCTACAAAGTATAGGGGGAACACTTTCAACTTCATTTAAATTTGTTTTCCTCATGAAATATATAATACATAAACTCAAAACTACAAGCGAGAGGATGTATGCAATGCCATGTTATCAATTTTATTTTATTAGATATTATTGATTGAACAAAATTATATTCGTCGAGTTTATTCAAGTGAAATATTTCAATCATTGCATTAGCAATAAATACCATTGAAATATCTAAAGCACAAAGTTTTTAATTTGATGAATATCGAGAATCAAAATTGGAGAATGTATATCAACCAATATCATAATATCAACTCGTCAAAAACTATCAATGATGTCACAAGACAGAAGATTACACTTTCCTATTTATATATCATATTTAACGCATCCGTCATTGGTATTTCATGGCTCATTTGAAAACAAGAAAAAAAAAACAATTCTATTAAATATATATCTTACATATTTAGTTGCTTATTAAATTTTTTTCTATTTTTTTGTACTGTTCGAATATGTTTTTTAAATCTTTCATATTCTTTTTCATTTTGTTCAATAATTTTTTTTGATTTTTTTTCATTTCTTTTTTCATACGGAATAAAAATATCACATTCTTGACGATCTCGACAAGCTGAACACGCAAAAAACTTTGATGTTGATGAATGAAATAATAATGTTGGACCATGTACACATTTTGGATGATTTATTTCAATATTTTCAGAAAAATCAATTTCAATCGAATTTTTAGTCATATCATCTAAAATAATTAAAAAATTTAAGAAAATACAATTAAAAAAATATAAAATTAATTTTCATTTAAACACGACGTTCAAGTTGTACAAAAGCACCATGTTCAGAACGAAGAATAATTTCAAATGAAAGATGTAAATCATCACGTGTTTGAGATGTTTTTAATTTATATCGTCTTAATATCCATGATAACATAGATTTTTCTTCTAGCATAGCAAATCGTTGTCCAATACAATTTCTTGAACCAGCGGAAAATGGTACAAAAGCAAATGATGATCGATTATGACTATTTTCTGGTAGAAAACGATCAGGATCAAAACGATCAGGATCAGAAAAATGTTTTGGATCACGATGAATATAATAAATAAATATAACAGCTGTTGAACCTTTTAAAACTTTATAACCATCTAAAGAGAAAAAGCTATTAGTGCAATCCTGGCCAAATTAATATGTAAAACACGATATAGCTGCTTTTGCTAATCACAGGATAGTTATTTTCTTTTACTTAATCCTCCAGAACTGTAATAAGGAAGACATTCACATCTTATAATGAGATGTTATTAACATACAGTCTTCAGTCGTGAGCTGAACAGCTGTTTGCGAGTGTAAGAAGTGTGAAAGTTTTGATTGTAAGGGAGGTGACTGTCAGAGATAGAGCCCGTTGGATGCGTAAATTTTTAAACTCGACGCATCTAATCATCTATGAAATATGATAGGGACCCTAGTAACTGCATACAAAAACTAACGGAAAAAACGTGTCTCGTACCTTGGGGAAGACTATCCAATTTCGGTTACAAAATTCATTGAGAGTATCAAAATATAGTTTGATCGGGTCTGAAAATTTTCGGATTCGACGGGTTCTAGTCAGGAACGTGAATACTGAATTAAGTCTTATCTTCATTTACATTCACACTAAGGTTCAATAACTTAGCGAGCAACTATCCTAAATTCTTTTAATCATACATCAACGACGTCTATAATGGTATCTGTCTAGCGTTTGCCACGACCTATTGAAATACAAAATTTTTACCTGATACACTTCAACACTTCGCTTTAGATTGTGTTTCACAAAAAACGATTCAGATATCTTAAAGAATATTGAAATAAACTTACTATACATAAAATCGTCTTGTACTTCACGTGCAATAAATGGAACTGATGGGAAAAGTCGAAGTGTTTCTTTAATAACACATTCTAAATAATCTAATTCATTTAAATCGTCCATTGTACATGGACGATCATGATTATTTCCTAAAATCTTAATTTTAAAACAAATCAATCGATATTCTTTTAATATTTACCAAAAACTCGATCGATTTCATCATGTAATTTTTGTTGAACTTCTGGATGTAATGCAATCATAAAACAAGTAAAATTAATTGCTGCTGCAGTTGTATCATGTCCCTTAAATATTCGAAAAAAAAACAAAATAATGAACATAGATGATTAATTTTGTTTTATACTTCAAACATAAATGTATCAACTTCTTCTTGAATGTCAAGAAGTGTTAATTGTTCATCACTCATTTGTTTAAGAAGTAAATCTGAGTAGAAAATATCGATCTTATCTAAACAATAAATATTAAAATTAAAAATTACCAAGAAATGCAGAACGTTTTCCACGATTTTCATCAGTATGAAATTCTCGAGCACGATCATCAATAACTTTTTTCGTAAATTGATGAATTATTTTTAAATATCGATCATGATTTCGTCCTTCTGGTAACAATTTAAATATTAAATCAGGCCACAACCATGGCATACGTTGACGTCTTAATATTATATCTGTTAATCTAAAAGAAAGAAAAGAAAATCATAATTTCTTTTTTTCATTTTCAGAAATTTGATTTACTTCAAAACAGCATCAACATATTGTGAATTTCTTTGTTGTTGAGCACCAATATTTAAACCCATTGCAGCCTCTAAATAATTCTTAGAATAATTTTTACGAAGAACTATTCAAAATGACTAACCGCATATAATATCCAGAGCACATGATGCAATATATGGATATAAATTGACTTCTTTTCCTGATTCAATTGATCTCAAACGTTGTACTAAAATAGCTGATTGCTCGTTATAGATGTCAACATAATTATTAAGTAATTCTTTATCATGAAATGCAGGCGTTATAATACGTCGACGATTTTTCCATTTTGCTCCAGCACTAAAATTAATATGCTGTTTTTGATCATGGATTAGGAAAAAAAAAGTAAATTTAGAAACTCGGATGAAATTCTAATGAACGTATATTATTAGGAAAATCTCCAAATTCATTAACTGTTTGTGAGTAAAGACTATATATTATGCAGACTTTGATGAGTTATGAATACTCTGATAAAAGTTTGGGCTCTTAACTTATTGTTGTCGAGATACTGCACTTTTATTTATCAAACGAAAGACATGAACCTTACCAGAAACACTGGAAAAACTGTTTTTTGAATTTCGATTTGACACATATTACACAGGCACCGACTTTGATGAGAATAATTTATTATGAAAGTTGCAGATATTTTGATTTTCTTCTCTCTTAAAATAAGAATATCGAATCTGCCAGGGTATATGAGCAATGTTAAGGGCATTCCTCGTTAAAAGTGTATCTCTTTGCAAAGTTTCAATTCGAGATCCCAAATTCAATTTTTCTAGGATCTCTTTTATAGTGCACGTTTTTTTCGAATGGCTGCCAGCATACTGTATATTATATCAAATGGTCTATCGACGGTTTACCGTGAATTTTTGTCGTGTGGGAGTCACTGAATGAGAGTGACTACAGAAATTTATTTAAAAAAATATCGTAAAATTGCAGTTACTCGGTAGTAATAAGTTATGTGCGCGAATTTTTTTAAAAACATTCATAGCTCCTAAGAGTCTACGTGATTCATATTGTCTCGACTCAAAAATACTTTTATCAGTCGAGTGACTTCTCTCGTTAGTCACTGCTGAGTATATTTTAAAGATTCTTGAGATAAGAATTCGAAAAATATTTTTTCTCATCCTTATAAGAAAAAAAGAAACCCTATATTATCAAAAACAATCATCGTTTTCAAATGAAAGGTATTTGTTTCAAAGAGACTTTTTGGTTACAAATTAAACCGTTATTTCGTAATCTTTCTCAAGAATAATAAAAAGAGAATAGCACTGTATTAAACAGTCGAATCATTAATCTTGTTTTTTGAATTTCATATTGTCGAGATAATCTCAGAAGTAGAAATGTATTCCCGATTTTAACTAACCTTGTTAATAAACCTGTTCTGAGCCATGGATAAAGATACGCATAATCTGGTGATTTTGTTAAATTTTTTGAGCCAATAAAAAAATGCTAAAACAAAGAATATACAAGTTGAGTCATAAACAGCATTAAGGTAAAAAAATGAAAAACTTTCGCATGGATTCAATCAAATGGGCTGATTTTTTTAGTTACAAATAGAAGTTTATTCAAAGTTTTCTTTTTCGTACGGATTAGGTAAGGCAAGAACGAGTAGGGCAGATTGAATGACCACGTTTTGCAATTCAATTTTTAATTACTTTATAAGTTGTATTAAAAGAACAGATCATTTTACATATGCACATTATGTTTTCGAAATAGACAACATTTTGTGCGACCGGTTTTCAATGCTACGAACAAAATCACATTTTTGATAGAGAATTAATTCGCTTTTTTTATTTGATCGATTGAAGAGAATTTTATTCATTGGTAAAAATATTTTTTCATCAGACTGTTTATGCTGAAAGACAAACACGGTGACATAAACCGAAACAATTAAGTCTCCAAAAAGAATTATAGTTTGAGTAGCTGTTTCAAACAATGACCCTTCGTCTCCAATAATTTTTAAATTCGGTGAAACATCATCGAATGAGAATTATATTGAAGCTATTCTTTCACATACACACAAGGAATCATTGGCAGGATATGAAGAAAATTTCTTGCAATTCATTAACAATGGCAGAAGGCTATGAAACAGTCCTGGCCTCAGTGTTCTGGATTATTACGTGTTGAACACTATCATCAACAATAGAATTAAGCAAAAAACAAATTCATTGATTGGCGAGATAACAAAATGAATTTGTTGTGGATCTACAAATGATCATGTCCGCAGCATCGAAAATTGATCGCACAGATATTCGTCCATTTTGAAAACAAACAATGCATATATAAAACAAGCTGTTCTTTGTAAATTGTGGAGTTTTTTACACTGTAACTTGTCCGATATTTTGTTCTTTCAATGCAACGTATTAAGTAATTGAAAATTGCAATGCAAAACGTGTAATTTTAATCTGCCCGGTCCCTTATCACACGAAACTAATTGCTTTGAATGTTAGTTATGGAGAAATCGATAATTCTTTAAAAAAAATCACTTCTACGATTCGGTATGCAAAGCTTTTCTCGAAAAGATTCTCACAGTTTACTTGAATCGGGTTTGCTTTTGCTAATTTAATCAGAAAAATTATTCTTCGAACAATCTGTTAAAATACAATTGGCAAGAAAATTGAAAACCAGACGCAATATCATCATTTTCATGATCTCGAAACAGTAAAAGAAAACCAGCAGTCTACGGAAATTTTCTTTAAAACTATTTTGTTTAATGGAATAATGAATTTTCTCTCTGCTCATATTGCAATAAGTAAAATTCGAAATTCGATAGAAATTTTCATTCAAATCGAGGAAAACTATTAATAATTACATAATCAATCTGTAATATTGTTTTTCCTAATATAAACAATAAAATAACAAACCTCAAGTCCAACTGGATGAAAAAAAGCAATTAAAGGATATGTACCAAGCCATAAACAATACAATGCTGTATGTTTACTTTCTTCATAAAATGAATCCAGTTTTTGAGAGAATTCTACAAAAAAGATACAAACTTCTCCCATGATTTTTCATAAGAATTTATTTCTTACGATAGGGATTTAATGGTAAATTAAATAGATTTCCAAATAGAGGTAATCTATTTTGTGGACATGGTACAGATCCATAATTTTTTAATATTTTAATATAATTAACAAACCATGTTTTTAATCGAAAGATAATAAGAATAATAAAAATAATGATTATTAATGTAATTGAAATCAATGCCATTTTAACTTTCTATACTAAAATTAATAAATATCTGTTAATCTTTTTCTTTTTTATTTCATTGCCAAAAATAGAACAAAAAAAAGAAATTCAACTGAGCCATATTATAACAAATAAGGTGTGTGTAACAAACAAAAACAAATATACGAATACAACTGAGAGACAAAAAGAAGAGATAAGTTATCATTTGTTATTCAATTGTTTATTACATATGTCGAGCACGTTTTAACTTTTGAAAATCACTTATAGATAAATCTGCTGAATGAAAATCACGTTTACGTGCTAATTGATTAGCAACTTGTTGACGAACAAAACTTTCAAGTTGTTCAGAATGACCATGGGAAGAAGATGTATCAACACGATGTGTACTTTCATTATCTAAAGAAAAAAATAAGCCTCATATAAAAGATTATTTTAGCAACGATCTACGAAAAATTAAACTCATCGTATTTTACTTTTATGCTTTTCAGGCTACTATGAATTTTGACCCTTTAACCCCATTAAGTTAACTGCAGAGGTAGAACACTAGCGCCCATCTTGTTTTAGGTAAGTAGCGGCAGGTGGCACCCTCGCTACGTATGTAATTTTATGGAGTGTATAAATCACTAGTGGAATAGTTAACGACGAAACTAGAACACCAGTTTCTCTCTTGTTCTGAGAAGCGTAGTGGAGAATGATGCTATTCTATTGGCACTGTGTTTTATGGAAAATACTACGCACGTAGCGAGGGAGCCACTATCCAACAAAAACAAGAGGGTGCTAGTGTTTTGGCTTCGCCACTGCTTTAAGTACTTCAGTCTATTTACTTTTTTGAGGTGTAAGTGAGAGAGAATGGGTATGATTCCTTCATCCACATTCTATCTATTTAAAACAAAAAAAAACAATCGTTACCATCCATAACAAGTGCTTGTCGAAATGTTTGTAAATCATCAACTATAGGAAATTGATTCATTGTACCATTGTTTGTGCTACCAATTTCTGTTGGACAAGGAATATTATATGGTGAACGATCAATTAAATAATCATAAATTTCTTCACAACGTATATGACGACGTTGTCTACGACGTGTCCAACGTAAAATATCTTTAGTTTTAGTTTGTTCACCATTGAGAATACCGAGTTGAAATGCATCTTTTAAAGTATCCAAACTTTCTAAAAAGAATAGAGACAAATTTAAGAAATCGTCAACAAAAAAAAAGAATTGTATATAGTCATAGATGAAATCTTAATCATTTGAACATCTAGAGCAATCAGAAATTTTGAAGAACGATAGGTACGGGTGTGAGTCTACTCAGCATAACTACACTCACACCCTTATGAACTGAAACTCAAGTCAATGATTTCGGTATCCGACTGAATTTCCTCACTTAAAATTTTTCTTTTGTGACTTTTGAATATCAAAAAAAGATCATTCGAGCGATCTCATGATCAGAGTTAGGACGAATACTTGTCATAGAATTCAAATATTTCTATCAAAAAAAGAACCACAGTTCAGAATAGTTAGCTTTCATCTACAGCTGGTATGTCGCTCTTGTCTGATGATAAAATATATAGAAGAATTTTATAGAAAAATTCCAGAAGCTGCTGTAAAACTTAACGAAATCGAAACAAAAATTGAAAAAAAAAGGCAATTTTTTGAAAGTTGCATTCCATACTTTGCTACAGTTATGTTTAGTTATAAAAATTTATATAGAATCTCATGAAGATTTTAAAACACTGGTTATTGACAAAAAGTGAGAACCCCCCTTTCTTAATGGTTTACATGACACCAATAACATCTGCCAATGTCAAACTATTTTAATAAAAGTCTTGAAAATAGATTAAACTGAAAATCAGTCATAATTCTAATCGAAAACTTTACCTTTATAAAGCATTGTAACAGATTCCGCGGCCGCATGAAATGTATTCCAATTATTTGTTCCATTAGAACGTTCTTAAAAATTTAAATAATAAAAATAAAAAATTATTTTCCTTTTTTACCACGAAACATTTTTGTAACATTTGTAGCTGCATTTTGAAATGGAATAAATAATTTTTGTGTAAAGAAATCTTGTCCATTAGTTAAATTTTCATTTATCATTTTTTCACATTCATCTTCATATTTTGATAATGCAGTTTCTTCATTATCAATAAATGATGAAATTTGATTTTGTGTATGATTAACATTCGACATAGTTTCACGAAATTAAAATAAAAGAACTTCTAGTAATAACAATCAACCAATGTTTAATATGATTCAATTTAACTGCTTAATGAAATGATGTCGCTAGATAATTTTTTCAAAGAAATTCTTTTCTATTCAAATAAAAATATTTAAAAAAGAATTAAAAATTTTCTTTAAGAGAAAACAAATGAAAAATTAACGTATTAAAATAATCTTTGATATTAATTTTCTATTGGTTAATAATATTCAGGGATAAATTACGCAGCAACATAGGAAAAATATCTGTTTGCTTTAGACGAAAATAAAAGAAAAAAAATGGATAAAAATGATGCTGAACAAGTAACATCATCAACAGTTGCTGAATCTCCTTCAAGTAATGTTGAAACAAATCAACAACGATCTGATTCAATGGCTGATGATGGACCTTTTTTGGTTGGAAGGTACATTTTTTTTTCTTTTTCTTTTGTTTGTCTTTCATTCTCTTCAAAATGTTTTCTTTTTTAATTTGATTTTTATTTAGTTTACCAACTGAAGTAGTACGTCGTGTAAATGCACTTCGAAATCTTCAAGTTGAACATCATAAAATTGAAGCCAATTTTTTTGAAGAAGTTCATGCACTTGAATGTCGTTATTTAAGCAAATATCAACAACTTTATGAAAAAGTATTTTAATTATATTCAATTTAATTTTCATTTCTTTTTTGTTTTGTTTACTTAGCGTTTGAATATTGTTAAAGGTACTTATGAACCAACAGAGGCTGAAGGAAAATGTGCATTTGATGAAATTGAAGTATGTAGAATGATTTACTTTTATCAACATAGAAATTTTTTTCATATTTATAGAATAATGAACAAACAACAAAACCAGCTGAAGAAGAAAAAAAAGACGAAGGTCAGTTTTTCTATATATACTCAACTATACATATATATAATCAATATCTACATTACTGTATGTTTACATCAACACTTGCGACTGTAACAGAGAAAAAGAATATTGACATATTATTGTAGAACGATATGACCTTGGGTTAAGTATTTTTACTTATTATAATAGAATGTTTACCAATATTGTAGAAGAACTGATTTACATTCATGTGATAATAAGATTTAAAGATAAAATCTCTGAAAACAAAAATGTTTTATTGAAATATTTTACGTCATGTCTATTATTATTTAGATAAAATCGATTGATTTTACAATATTCTTATGAAATTTTAGTCAAGATCAATGAATAATCATTAACAAAATAAAATTAGACATAAAATCTAGTTTCTTTATTCTTTTATAAGAACAACTATTCAAATACTTTTCAGAACGAGAACAGATCATTAATCACTTGTATTATAGGAAATATTCTATAAAACTACTTTTTCATAGAATAAAATTGGAAAGATTATTAACGGGAAATAGAAACATTAAAAGACATTATTATAGCATTAGAAACGAAATGAGAGAATCGCCCGAAGTAATTCATTGCTTTTGAGCTCATATTTGTTTTTTATTGTCATTCAGAGAGAATGTCTAGACTAGAATAACTCTATAAGGATTAAAGTCCATAGATCTTTGCTAAATTTTCATCATAGGACAAAATATTGATAGAAGAAGTTAACAAATGGTGTTTTATCTCGAAGTTTCTATATAAGATTTCATGATCCTATAAGCAAAACTAGAAATTGTAATTACCGCAATTAATTCCCTTGTAAGACATTTAACAATGGGAATCTTCTGGATATTTATTGAATCATCAGACTTCATTATAGTACAATTTCTAGATCGAAAATTTGAATTTTTCTGATAATAATCTATTCTTCTAGTGAAAATATCTCTGTATATTCAACATATAAGCTCAGAACTGATGAGAATCATCTCGAATGGTTTTATCTTTAATCTGATTTAGTAACGATGGAAGATTTGAAAACTTAAATAATTAGATAAAACAGCGTTATGTTTTCTTTTTCTATTTTCAGAAAAAGCTGTTGGCATTCCAGAATTTTGGTTACATGTATTAAAAAATTCCGATGTTGTTTCAGAATTAATTAGAGTAAAAAAAAATTCTATTTGATTGAACAAAAATTTTCATCTACTTAATATTTTTATAATAGGAACAAGATGAAGAAGTTCTTAAACATCTTATTGATATTCGCCTAACAATGCAAAATGAAGCTGAACATAAAGGTTTCACTGTTGAATTTGAATTTACACCAAATGAATATTTTACTAATACAATATTAACAAAATCATACGAACTTCGTACAGGACTTGATGAAGATGATCCATTATCTTATGAAGGACCAGAAATTATTAAATCGAAAGGTTGTGAAATTCAATGGAATAAAGGAAAAAATGTTACAATGAAAATGATTAAAAAAAGACAAAAACATAAAAATCGTGGAACTATTCGTGTTGTTACAAAAGAAGTACAAACAGATTCATTTTTTAATTTTTTTTCACCACCCACTGGTATGTTAAATTTAAATTCTTAAATCTTATTTACAAAAATAAAAATTATTCTTTTATTTTTTACTACTAGCACCAGAAGAGCCTGATGATGATTTTGAAGAGAGTGATGAAATGAGAATGTTAGCAGCTGATTTTGAAACAGGTCATTTACTTAGAGATTCAATTATACCAAAAGCTGTACTTTATTATACTGGTGAAGTTGGTGATGAAGACGATGAAAATGTAATAAATAATTTTAATTAATAGAAAAGAAAAATAATATTTTTTTTTTTCTCTTAAGTTTGATGAAGATGAAGATGAAGATGAAGATGATGATGAAGACGACGATGATGATGATGATCACGATGAAGATGAAAATGAAGATAAACGAGATACACATGGCAGTCATCATCATGCTAGTGGTGGTAAACATGGTTCTGGCGGTGTTCGTATTCATTAAATAATTCAATTTTGAAGATATATTTCTTTTTAAATTTAAATAGAAAAGTCGAGGAGGAAAACACGCTGGTGCCGGAAATAGTGGTCAACAACCCGAATGTAAACAACAGTAGAACAAAGAAAAAAAAAAGTGCTCATGTTCTTTCTTTTTGCAGATGCTATTCTTTTTTTGTTTGTTCTTTTTCTTTTTTCAATGGTTTATTTATTGTTGTTATATCTTGAAAGAAGATTCTGTCTTTTGTTTTCAACTAATTGGATAGAATGTGGAGAAAAACAAAATATAAAACAGATAAGAAAAGAAGAAAGGATTTATAAATGTTTTTCTTTTCTGTCATTAGCAGAAGCTTGTTACTCTTGTTTAACAATAAGAGTACGACTGTAGACGTGTACAATTATGGTAATGCGACAAAATGAAAGAAAAACAAATTCTATGACATATTTCTGATTGAAAATCATTGCAGTTTATCGTACGATAAGGAACATATCAATAATCTACACTGTAGAGATAGAACCAGTCTGGAACTTTGATGATCGGTACGAATTTGAACAGGTCAGACCAGTCAGTGCAAGAGAGATCCTGTACACTGAAAAACAAAAATGGTACAATACAGACCTTGACAAGGATTTTCTAGATGCATGATAAGTCTTTCATAAGGTTTCGAATTGGTTTCAATTCTCTAAATTTTTTTTTACTGCAGTGTCGACAAATTTCAAATCCGCTTTTAGAATCGTGCTCAATAGGCTCTAGACCAAGATTCTTATCAAATCTATCTCTTGATAGTCTCATTTGATGTAATCAACATCCAAAACACAATTTGCAGCGTAAGTTTATCTAATAAAAACAGAGAAGTAAATAAGTTATACCAACGATCAAGCTATTTCATCTCTGATCACAAATCATCGTATTTTCAATCTATGATCATCAACAAGCAAACTTTTGAGTTTTATACGATGCTTTACAATGACTTCGAATTTTCTTTTTTTGCATTATATGTTTTACATTGTGTTTGTATTGAGAGATTTTGTTAAAATAGTTAACCAAATGAAATTAAATCATAGTTACGAATCGTATGAAGGTTTTATCGATCACATTCGAAACAATTTTTCGATATTCAAAATAATCGATGTATATATGCAAAGCGTTTACATTATAAAAAAGAAAAAGAAACTACCTAATGGGAGAGAGGAAAAGCAACAATATTCACTCATTACGCATGACTATTGTTACATTATTCTTCACTCGATTTGCTTTGAGTGATTGTCGTTCTGATTGTGTTTGCCTTGTTCTGATCGCATGAGTAATAAAGTTGATTCTATAGTTTAAATTAAACGGAAACATACGATTACTTTTTACAAAAATCAGAACAATTCGAACTGAAAAGTTCAGATGAATTATTCAAATAGAATTAATGAAAAGAATTCGAAATTTTAAACTTCAAAATATATTGTTGTATGATATTTGTACAATTGACATCATATATATAAATATGATTTTTAAAAAAATATAATCAATTAGTCTTCGTCATTATTATCATTTTCTTTAATAACTGAAATGCAAACGTGATTTCGTTTGTATATTTTAATTTCTTGTATAGAATTATAATTAGGTTGTTGTTCTTGTTCTGGTTCTTCAATATTTTCTAATTCATAATCTAATAATACATCAAGTGGAGTTGTTGGTGGATCTTTTGGTATTGGTTTTTGTAATGTACGAGCTAAATGAAGCCATACATCAACTTTTTCCCAGCGATTATTATAATTTCCAGTAGGTTTTTGTTGACTTGGAATATATGATGATCGTATAGGTACACTACGTTTACTTGATGATGACGATGATATACCTCGATTTATTGATGGTAAATTAACTCGATTTGATGACGACATTGTTGTTGTACTAGCTTCAAAATCACTACAACTATCAATAGTTATGGTTGAATTTAATTTTGTATTTGTACGTGTTGTTAATGGTAATGATGATGAAAGAATTGCAAGACCACGATATGGTTTATGTTGACGTGGTGAATTTCTTTTTTCGAAATTTGCTTGATTAACTTGTTCAATATGAAGTAAATTATTATTAATTATTTTTGTTGATTGTTGTTTTGCATTTGCATTTACACTTAATGGATGAAGATAAAGACGACGTGTTAAAATTTGTGCTGTACTTCGTGATGATGTATGCCGAAGATCATTAATTGTTTGACATAATTCAAGTAATGTTAGTGATTTTGGCTTTATTGGATGCGGTGCTGTAGTTGACGTCATACGTAACTAAAATGAAGACATAAAAATTATTCATGCTTTTTTAAATCCTTTTATCAAATACGAAAAAAATATGCTGATAAACACTGACATCATCGATTATTTCTTGTATTGTAAATCGAGTTCGTTGCTGCATTCTCATTTAACTAAAGCTCAAAATGATTTTTTTTTCCTTTTTTTTTCTTCAATTAAAATATCTTTAGACATTATATTAAGCAGAAAAAAAAATCTAATGAAATCAAAATACACGGATATGTCTTCTTATATTTCTAACATGATTCTCATGTGTAACGTCAAAAAAGAAGCAACAACATACCTTATTGAATATTTGCTAACAATAAAACAATGTAAAAAAAAATATTTTTCAAGTGTTTAAAAGAAAACATGTCATATGAACAAAATACGCCCGAAATCAAAATTTTTCAAATGATGTCGCTTGAGTATAAACTCACTAAAAGAAAAGTATTCTTTATCGATTGGTTGTTTAAAAAGGTTTCATTTTTAAATAGATTCAAACATGTAATTATATTTTTATTTACATAGATCAAAAAGAAAATGTCTAAATCACGATCAAAAATAAAACGAACAATAATATCATCATCTACAACACTTGTTGATATATCTAATGAACATGAATTATCTATATGTTGTTCAAATCGTAATTGTCCATCACATTGGCATAGTCGTTTAACGGAAAAACTTAAAAATCTTAAAGAATCAAAATTAAAAGATTCTTGTTCGAAACCTCCTACAATTGAATCAAAACATCATTATAAATTATCTTATCCAGATATATTATCAAAATTATTTCAAATTAATGAATTAGATGATAATAATCATGAAATATATTCAAAACCAATTGATAAATCAACTATACTTAATAAACATGATTTATTTATTAATCAAATATCTAAAACATTTGATAATTTAGCATATATATTTATTAAAAATAATCTTAATTTACAAATAAAATATCGAATGATTCCATTAGTTTCGGATCCATTTTCTGATCAGGTTTACAAAACAAAAAAAAAATACACAATTTAAAAACGAAACTAATTTTAATTCTTTTATTTTTTTTTTATTCATATTAGATGGATCGTATGGAAGCTTCAACACAATTAAAATTCAATCTTCTTCGTATAAATCATATACATTTAAATTGTCGTTTAACTGTAAAAATTATTTCCACACCAATATGGAATCGTTCAGCTGTACATGTTATTGTACAAGATGAAAATACTGATTGTCTTCGTTTATCAATTTATAATTGGTTATATATTATTGATACAAGACAAATTAAATCATATAAATATATTCAAGAACGTTTAACATATTTATTACCAATGAATTCATCTATTATTTTATTAGATCCATGGTTAAAAAAATGTCATGATGGTGATATTTCATTACGTTGTGAATCACCAAATACAAATTTATTAATGATTGATTTTGAAAAACGATGTTCAACAAGTAATCAAATTAATGTTGAACAATTAAGACAATTAGGAAATTATTGTTATCAAATAGATGATAGTTTTAGTGCTATTGAATTTTATACATTTGCATTAAAACAACTTGATGAACAACAAGAAAAAGAATTAACATTAAAAGGACAATCAAGTATGTCGAAAGATTTATTTATGTAATCAAAATATCAATAGATAAACGATCTCAGAATTGTAAACTATCAAAAGTTTTTCAGCTGGTCTGAAATTCAGACCGGTTTGTTGAATCATTATTAATCGACTAATGGGAATGACTTTCAAAGACATTCATTTTTCTTTTTTATATTCAGGCATCTTACGAATGCACGACTAATGTTCTCCATAAGTACCGCATAGATAAATTTAATAAAATAGAAGGTAGAAATCAACAATAGAATAATAAATATTTTATTAATTATACAAATAATAGAACTAGTGTGGTGGATGTTACCGAAAGAGAAGTAACAATCGTTTATATCTATTAGGTTTTTCCAAAGATGAATATGTAATATGTCTAAATACAGTACTATAAAAAAGAGTCAATTAGTCAATAACTGATTGGTAAACTCCAAATTTTGAATTGTCTCACTTCTATTCAAATGATGATCCAAACCCTAAATTTTGATCGTATCTTTTGAAAAGTGAAATTTATTTCGGTTAGAGAAATAAAATAGTGTGAACGAATAGAATAAAATTGTTGATAAGAGCAATAAAAACTTTATTTATTTAAATTGTTTAGTGGGTCCAAAAACAGAAGAACGTGAACAACATCGTATTCGTCTATTATCTAATCGATGTGCTTGTTATTTACGTGAACGTCATGCTGCTTTAGCATTAGCTGATACTGGTATTCTACTTTCATTTCATGAATTATCTCGTTTTCTTGAATCACCAGCAGCAACAGCAGGAAAACTTATATTTCGTTGTTTAAGTGCTCATCTTTATTTAGGTTTATATGATAAAGTTGAAAGTTTATTAAAATCTCATAAATTTGGTATGGGTTTATGTGGAGGAGAAAATCCAGCAGTAATGGCTACACTTGAAAATGAATTAATTAGATTAAAAAATGAAGCTACAAATGGTCAATATGATCTTCAAGGAATGTTATATGAACAAATTAATAATAAATCACAAATGTTTATTGATTTATCTCATCATCATGCGAAATATTATAGAGATGATCTATTTGAAATTCGACTTTGTCAAGTAAATGATTGAAAAATTTACACAAAAAAAAAATATAAAATAAAAAGAGGTTTATTCTACTTTATAGACAGAAGAATTAAATAAAAATCGATATCAAAATGGTTCATATGGTGTATATGCATTAAAAGATCTTCAACCAGGTACATTATTAATTGTTGAACAACCATTTGCTAGCGTTGATAATCGTCTTATTGGTGATGAATATTGTCATTCAATAAATTATTGGCAAACAAAATCTAAAATTAAATATTGTACAAATGATATATTACGTTTATTAAATGAAATTGAAAAACAAATAGTAATTGGTAGTGCTACATGGACAACATTTGATAAAATTAAATTAATGCAACCTATTCGACAATGGTTAGCTAAAAATATTGTTAGAAATATTGATGAACAACAAGAAAATCATGATATACTTTCAGATTTATTAGACAATTATGAAAAAATTTTAGCAGAGAAAAAACAATGGAGAAAACCATTTTTAAAGTAAGACTTTTGAATACAAAAACATCTATGTATTGTAAATAATATAGATATTAACACTGAACAAAGTAGTAGAAAGATATGTATCAAATCCAATTCTATGACTTGCGCGAAAAAAAAAAATCTTTCTGAAATTTGCAGTAAAATACTAAGTATCATGCTTGTAAATAATAAGTTCAAGAAAGAGAATGTTAGAACAGTTTGTATCGATGCCTCTGATAGATTCAAATAGCTATAACATACAGAAGAGTGGATGTGAATGTGGAGTGTGCGTGGTTATCTTTTGTTTACCCACACCCACCATTTGTACACATGCAAAAGGTCTATAGACTTTAAAAATCTTGTTTTACTGTCATTTTTCTGCTACATCACACTTTGCTGGTAAAGTTCTGATCTAGATTTTTGGTCTGAAACTGCCCTCATCAAGACCTGGTCAATACGTCAGCGAAATTTCAGTTTGCATATACATGCTTTTCGGTTTTTTCTTGTCTTCAGGTTCTCTATTTATCAGAAAAATCTAACGAAGGCAGTTCTCCAACTATTCAATCGCTTTTGAGTCCAGACTACGCACATTATGTAGATCCAAATACCCTATGAATATCCTGAAGAGAGTGCATACCCTTACACGATTGC